ATTTACTTGTGCAGTTGAGTTTAGTATGTAAGTTTTGCCTAATCATCTTTGAAATCATGGATCCATCACTAAATCTGCCTCATATTCTATATTTTCTCTAAGGCTAAATGAGTGGTTTATTATTCGGGCATATCAGTTGTTTTAGAAATTTATTTCTTTTGGGTTTTGTGAGTTTGGCTTTGGATCATGTATTTTTAAGAACTTTTCATATTAAGAGAGGTAATAACATATTAAATTCACACACACTATACAGATGCTATGACTCAAACCCAAAACCTTTCTTAAAGAGAGCATTTATTCCGAACCACTTTAATAGCGGAATAGCCTTTTGATTGCAAAGCTTTTCTTGAATTGTAACAAGGCAGAACACTCATCAACCTAGCCAAGTGTCTGAGGCTGAACAGATAAAATACAGTAAGTAGCAATGAGTAATAGCAAAATCAAATAACGTACAGAAATAAACTTTGACCACCGCCATTCCATTCTCGCTTTTATAAAAATTAATATTTTGAAGTGAGAAAATTACAAAAATTAATAAACGGAGAAGGTGAACAGAAATTGCTTGAAGTCAAGTCGTTTGCTCAGAGTCTGTCTCCATGTAGACTTTTAAGTCATTAAGGCTAACCATTCAAAAGTCGTTAAAGTCTTTTCTAAGAAACAAATTTATGCAAAACATGTCAATTTTAATTTTCAGTTAAAACTAATAATCAAATAGGAAAAATTACAAGTACTTAAAGATTAAGCTTATTACTAGAATCAAGAAATTCTCAAGACATAACTTGCAATCCACTTTATTAAACCATACATATTTCAAATTTAGCTACTTGAGAACACTACATATTTGACTACTTGTTGAGAAATACATTACAAATATATTATTGAACATCTACAAATAACTTACACCACCACATATGCAAAATATACTACACAATTGGTACCACGAAACCTCACACCACAACAACATGATATTCTTTCAAGGCTCAAATACTTCCCTTATGGACACACCAAACATGTATACATAAACACAGATGCACGGCCTTGGGCTAAGTTCTGCGTCCCCTCCTAGCCCTTGTGCCTCTTGGCTTCCTCCTCCTGCTAAACGTCTCCACAAACCATTCGTGCTTCTTTGTTGTCCATATGTTCCCAACAACCACTCCAATTATCAGACCACTAGTAACTCCTGGCAGAACCACGTACCAATCTAGTGCAATTTGAAATACAGAGTCTTCATCTTCTTCAACGATTGATGGTGGTGGCCGCGTTGAGCTATCAGAATCTTCACATTTCTTTGGCAGATACTTTCCACACAGACCTGAGTTTCCTTCGTAAGAGTCCTCCTGGAATGTATCGAATTGTTCGCCAATTGGTATAGGCCCGGAGAGATGGTTATGGGATACATTAAAATATGCAAGGAAAGTGAGTTGTGCTAAATTACTCGGGATCCTTCCTGAGAGCTGGTTCTGGGAGAGATCTAACGATTCGAGAGCAGCCAAGTCCCCTAAAGATGAGGGGATGTGACCAGTGAGAGAGTTGTTGGAAAGGTTCAGCAAAACAAGGCCTCTTAGGTTCCCAACGGGACCTTCTGGAATCTCTCCTTCAAATCTATTACTTGACAAATCTATGAGTGTGAGAAGATAAGGGGTCTTTTCATATTTCAAATCAACACCTTTGCCACTTATTTTCATTGCGTAATGAAAATAAAAGTATTGTCCACCGACGACATCCGTATATACTTCAAAATAAGTTCGCTGGTTTTCATCAACATATTTCATGGAATTCCAGATCTCTAAGTAGTTAGAGGGAAACATACCTGAGAAACCATTGCTAGATAAGTCAATGATGCGCAAATTTGGGAACTCATGTTTAGTTGCAGGCTTCCCAATTACGCCATGAAATCCATTAGACCGCAAAATGAGAATCCTTAATTCTGGAAGTGCCCCAAACCAAGATGGGAAGATGTCACTCATCTGATTGTTTGCAAAATTAAGAACCCTTAACTGAGAACAATACATCACCCCCCTTGGTAGCTTCCCCTGCAACTGATTATAACTAAAATCAACAATTCTCAAACTAGTTTTGCTTGGACATATTGGAGGAATATAACCACCAAAAAAATTGTTATGCAGGGACAATATTTCCAAAACACTAGAGTTACCCAAACATTGTGGAAGCATGCCACTGAGGTTGTTGTTGGACAACTCGAGAACTTGAAGATTATTGAAGTTGCAGAACATAGGTGAAATTTCTCCAGTATATTCGTTCTTTTCGACAGCATAAAATCTGATTGATTGCGGTGGAATTGGCAGAGGTCCTTGTAACATGTTCAACCCAAGAGTCAGAAAGATCAGATTTTTCCATGGGAGAATGCCTGGATATTGGTCAAATCCTGTCAAAAAGTTGTCATAGAGACGGAGGTCCAACAAAGTTTCAATAGTTGCATTCCAGACCCATTTCGGTATTGGGCCGTGAATATAGTTGTCAGAAAGGTCTAGCTTAGTCAACTCGGATTGATTTTTCAAAAATTTTGGAAACTCTATTAAGTTGCAGAAGCCCAGTGCTAGAGTTTGAAGCTTTGGAAGAGTAGCACTTAAATCATTTCTGATCTCCACAGATAACATGTTGTTCGATAATTCAAGGCCCTTCAACTTTTTGAGCTTGGAAAACTGATCGAACTCAACCAACCCACTCAAGTTATTACCGGAAAGATGAAGATATTCAAGATTTTTGAGATGGAAGAGCGACCTAGGAATTGGTCCTTGCAAATTGTTATCACCAAGGCTTAGAGTGGTTAACTGGGTCAACTTCATAAACCAAGATGGGATTTGACCTGATATTTCATTAGCGGCCAAGTTTAGAAATTCAAGTTGTGTCAGGTTAGACACAAAAGATGGGAATTCTCCCTCTATGTTGGTATCTCCAAGGCTCAAGTGGTAGAGTTTGGTTAGTTTTCCAACCCAAGGAAAAGAAACAGACAGCACGGCCTTGGAAACATCATTAAATGAAGACATGGAAAGGTAACTGAGTTGGGTAAGGTTTCCGAATGAAGATGGAACATTGGGATGAAAATTACACCCTGAGATGGCAAACACAATCAAGGAATGAAGGTTTCCGAGGGAGGTAGGCAGTTGGCCAGAGAAATTCGTGTCGGCAACATCCAATTTCTTGAAAACATTGCTCTTGTTAAAGGTGGGAAAATAGCCTGTTAGGTCTGAGTTAGAGCTTACATAAAGAACCTCTAAGTTTGGTAGGTGGAAAATGCCAACTGGGAATTCCCCATACAACCCACAATTGTCAAGTTGGAGAGATGTAAGAGAAGATGCATTGACCAAGATATCAGGCACAGTGGAGTATATGTCTACCCCACTAAGATGAAGCTTTTTTATGTTGGTCAAGTTTTGAACAAGGCTTCTCAGGTTGCCCTTTGTCAATTTTAAATGGCTACTATAAGAAGTGAGATCAAGAGTAGACAACTTGGATAGCTTTGAAATTTCTGACGGAATTTGGCCGAAAAAGGCTGAATTTGAAAGGTTGAGATATGTTAAACTCGTCAGATCATGACCCAATCTGGATGGTATTTCAGACCCATCGAAGTCATTATCTGAAAGGTCAAGCCTCTGCAAGTGAATAAGGTGGAAGAGAGTGCTGTTGGAGTTGATGGAACCATAAAGACAGCTGCTTCGGAGGTCAAGACCAATAACATGGCTGGAGTCCTCATTGCACTCGACACCGTCCCATGAACAGCAGTTACTCCTCTCTCCACCATGTTCAGTCCAAGATTCAACCTTTGCACAAGACAAAGGTTCCCCAGAAGCAGACTCGTCAATCGAAAAGCTTCGCTTGAACAGCAACAAGGCAAAGCACTCCTCAACGCGGCCAACTGCCCATACTGTCTGCACAAATGAAAAATAGTGAGTAGCAATGAGTAATAGCAAAATAAGAGAGCGTATAGAAATAAACTTTGGCCACTGCGATTCCATTCCCATGGAAATTATCATTTCTGATAAATTATGTATGTATGTATGTTATGGCTCTCACATAGGAGAAATTAAACTCCTTTTATAGACACAACTCATGCAAAGTTTGAAGTCAAGTTATAGGTGAACAGAAATTTTTCGAGTGAAATCAGCCGATCGTAATCACTTAAAGACGACTTGAAGTCAAGTCGTCTGCCAGGTTCATCAATCTTTCTCTGGGTGGAATTGTTTTAGTCAGAGTCTGTCTGCATGTGGCTCTCTAACTTGAAGTCAAGCTATTAAGGCCAATCTAGCAATTAGTTGTCCCATGAAGGCTACAAGCCTTGAATCAAATTATACGTTACTAAATCCGTACTTACTTAAGCATCGGAGAGCCTTCGGCCGGTACCACACCGGTGCCCTAGGTCTTACCGAGCGTTTGCTATTTTGCAGATCGAACGCCCTACCGAGGCCCAGAGCATACCGAAGGCCCAAATATCTCTAAGTTGCGCGGGAAAGTGCCGAACCATTTTTCTGCGTCAACAGTTTGGCCCACTTCAGGAACCACTTCAGGACCATAATAATCAACCATTTTTCTGCGTCAACAGTCTGTGGGAAACGATAATAATCAACCTAAAATTCCTAAAAAACACATGGGAACCACTTCAGGACCATCGTTCTTACCCGAGGACGAACTACCGTACGGAATGCCAAGCGAGGCAAGCCCCGCGCTACACCCTAGCACTCCCTTCGGTAACCCTCTGGTAATTCAGACTACGGTGGAAGCGGAGCTCTTGGCTCAAATGATTTCCCTTCGGAAGGAAATGGCCAAGCTCCAAGAACATAACAACCTCCTCACATCCAAAGTAGACGAAACTCAGCGGCTGCTTAATCAGCAGGAAATGCAGAATATTCAATCTACAGAACCTTCCCAAAGTCTGCACACCCCCAGTCGGTAGTCCCAAACAGCTGGTAGTCCCAGCCCCTCGAGACCAGCCCCATATACCAAAGAAAGTCTACGCCGACTGTCGCCATCGGCTCAATGACATGGATGCCGAACGGCAGAGGTCCCCAGCCAGGATCAACGCACACTTACGGGACTCACGAATGAGGGTCCTTGGAGACAAATCGCCCCTCAGAAAAGTCCAGGGTTTGGGGCCAGAGGCAGAATCTGACGACGAGTATGCCCCCTCCAAAGGCACCGAGTCACACTACCGTTCGGAAACTCCCATGGAGTTTTCGAAGGCAAGAGAACCGTGTCCGAGGAGAAAATCTCAAGACTATATTTCTGAGGAGATCCCAAGCCGAGACCCGGTAATCCGTCTGCTCTTCCAGAGAATCCAGAAGATGAAGGACGACCAAACCCGGTCCCAGGAGCCCAACTGGGGGAAACTTCAGCCAGGACCCTTTACCGAGCGCATCAAGAAGTCCAGACCAGACAGGGAGGTACAGCCATTGTGAATACTGTTTTACACCGGCGTGGAAGACCCCTTAACACACCTTCACTCCTTCCAATCAGCAGTAGGATACAAGGGCCTCAGCGATGAGGGGCAATGCCTGCTATTCCCATCCTTCCTTACCGAAGCGGCTTTGAACTGGTTCTACCGTCTTGAACCAAGAACGGTAGACTCGTTCGACGAGCTAAAGCAGATTTTTCTGAATCATTTCATGATCCAGACGGACCGTCTGTACTCTGCCGATGACCTGTACATGGTTTGGCAAAGAGAAGACGAACCCCTACGGGAATATGCCGCATGCTTCAGTCATGAGTACTCGAGGTGTCTGAAGACGGATGATAGGGTAGCCTATGGCGCCTTCAAGAGTGGCCTTTGGTCCTCTCACTTTCGGTACCTAGTACACAGCAGCAACTGGCGCACTTATGACGAGCTGATGAAGCAGGCGGCGGTGCATGCCAAGGCCGAATACTTTAACTCCAAGCCCGGGCCTTCGGCTCGGCAGGAAGGATCGGCAACGAAGAGCTATCCCGGGCGGACTGACGATTCTTCGGCAAGACACAAGAGGAAGGATGATCGTGATCATCGGCAGGGCAACTCAAAGAAGGGGCGTGGGAAATATGGTCGCAACGACCACCGAGCACCGTTGCCGAATCCCGACCGCGCTCAGGAAGTCTTCACACTGCTGAACACGACATATGAGGCCTTCTTGATGAACGAGCATGACCAAATCTCGAAGCCAAACCACCGAAAGCCCAATTGGCAGGATAATAGGGATACCGGCAAATTCTGTCGGTACCACCAGCAAAACAGCCACAACACTGAAGACTGCATTAGTTTGAGGAAGATCATTGAACGGCTGATTCGGGAGGAAAAGCTGGACCAATACATCGCTAGGCCGCAGCAGGCGCCTGCCGCAAACGCCAATCAGCAGATCAACATGATCAGTACGATCAGCGTAGGCCTCACTCTGGCGGGACCCTCTAACCGGTCAATAAAACAATATGTGCGTGCCGCCCACTACCCCCAAGTCTTCGGCATAGAAGACGATCGGTGCCACAAGGTCCCGAAGGTGGGGTGGGAGCCCATCACATTCTGTGAAGAAGAAGAAGAAGGGATCATTTACCCCCACGATGACCCAATGATCATTCGTGCCTAGATCGCCGACTACGATGTAGGTCGGGTCCTGATTCACATCGGGAGCTAGGTGAACGTGATTTTTGCCAATGCAGTCAAAGGGTTGGGGATCGCCGATAGTATGGTCAATCGGCAAATAATGCCTCTCCTCAGTTTTTCTGGGGATCTGGTCCAGCCAGTCAGCAGCATCAGTCTGCCCATCGCTTTCGGCGTCGCTCCCAGGAAAAAAATGACCTACGACCAATTCCTCATCGTCGACTGCCCAATGGCATACAACGTCATCATAGGACGAACGGCACTCACCAGGGTCAAAGCCCACTTGTCCCCCCACATGTTGCTGATGAAGTTCCCTACCCGCAACGGTATAGGCGTCATCCGGGGTGACCAGCTTAGCGCATGGACATGCTATGCCACTGCTCTTAAATCGGTAGCTTGCAAGCTGCCAATGGAAGCCATGTCCGTGCAGGGACTACCGAACGGTAGCGGGCCTATAGATGACCCAAGAGAGGAAACGACAACGCCGGTGGCACAGCCTGCCAAAGAGCTCGAAACTGTGATCCTGAACGAGGATTTACCCGATCGGTGGGTAAAAATCAACACCAACCTAGATCCCGACCTAGGAGGCAGTTCATCGACTTCTTACGGCAACAGGCGAAGGTCTTCGCCTGGTCTTACGACGATATGCCCGGCATATCACCTGACGTCATCAGCCACAAACTTAACATCTCCCCCGCCCATAAACCAGTTAGACAAAAGCGCCGTTCATATGATGCCGAACGGTACGAGGCTATGCGTACCGAAGTTGACAAGCTCAAAGCCATCGGCTTTATCAGGGAAGCTACGTACCCTGTCTGGCTTGCCAACTCAGTCATGGTTCGGAAGGCCAAGGGAGGATGGCGAATGTGTCAGGATTATACCGACCTGAATAAGGCATGTCCGAAGGACAGTTTCCCCTTGCCGAGAATCAACCAGCTCGTTGACGCAACTGCTGGACACGAGCTGCTCAGCTTCATGGACGCCTATTCAGGGTACAACCAGATCTTCATGGACCCTGCCGATAGCGAGCATACGGCATTCATCACGGACCGCGGGTTGTACTATTACAATGCCATGCCTTTCGGCCTGAAGAATGCGGGGGCAACGTATCAACGGCTCGTCAACCGAATTTTTGCTAAGCACATCAGCGGCATTATGGAAGTATATGTTGACGACATGTTGGTGAAAAGCCGAACGGCAGGGGGGCATCTGGAAAACCTAGCCCTCATGTTCGGTATACTAAAGGACTACCGAATGAGGTTGAACCCAACGAAGTGCGCCTTCGGTGTATCTTCCGGTAAATTTCTCGAATTCATGATCAACCAAAGAGGAATCAAGGCCAATCCTGAGAAAATCAAAGCCATAGTCGACATGGAAACGCCGAAGACACAGAAGGACATTCAAAGCCTTACCGTACGTGTCGCTGCCCTGACGTTCTTCATCTCCAAGGCTACCGATAAGTGCGTGCCATTCTTCAAAGCCTTGAAAGGGGGCAAACATCATATCGCATAGACTCCCGAATGCGACCAGACATTTCAAGACTTGAAGAACTACATGAGCAGGGCACCATTGTTGTCAAAACCACTTCCCGAGGAAGTTCTCCTCTTCTCCCTTTCGGTATCAAGCACTGCCGTTAGTTCGGTATTGATACGGATGCCGGAGAAAGCAGAGCTTCCAATTTTTTATGTCAGCAAGGCTCTTCAAAGCGCGGAACTTCGGTACCCACCCTTGGAGCAGCTGGCACTTGCCCTTGTTGTCTCGGTACGAAGGCTCCACCCATACTTCCAAGCACACGAAATCACGGTACTGACCAATCAGTCCCTTCAGCAGGTACTTCAAAAGTCAGAAACGTCCGGGAGGTTGGTCAGGGGGGCGATCGAGCTCGGAGAATTTGACATACAGTTCAAGCCAAGGCCTGCAGAGAAAGGTCAAGCCGTCGCCGACTTCATCTCCGAGCTCACATCTGCGCCGTTGGAAGCACTCTGTCCGAACGATGTTATTACAGAACCAAGAAACATGGATGCCGATCGTATTGATCATTCGGTACCTCTGTGGATCTTGCATATCGATGGCTCGGCAAACCAACAAGGCTGTGGAGCTGGTTTGGTGTTGACTACTCCAGACGGGTGCAAAGTCGAATATGCCCTCCGATTCAACCTCAGAACCTCTAACAACGAGGCGGAGTATGAGACTCTCTTGGCGGACCTTCGGCTAGCCAAGAGCATGAGCGCCAAACAAATCAGCATTCACAGTGACTCCTAGCTCATAGTGAATTAAGTAACGGCAGTCTTCGCAGCGAAGGATGCCTCTATGTCCGCCTACTTATCGGCAGCCCACCAACTCCTACAAAAGTTCCAGGCTTACGAGATTCAGCAGATCCCCAGGTCAGAAAACAGCCACGCAGATGCGCTCGCGCGTTTAGCTTCGGGAATCAACGATAAGATCAGGAGAAAGGTGCCGGTGGAGATATTATCCCAGCCAAGCACGAAAACGGCAGAGGTGTGTACCGTACGGTACGAGGACACATGGATGTCTCCAATTTACGCATTCATAACGATCAGAACTTTGCCCACCGATCAGAAGCTCCTGTACCGATCAGCAGATACATAGTGATCAACGATGTCCTGTACAAGCGAAGCTACACCACGCCGTATCTGAAATGCCTCACTAAGGAACAGGGGGACTACGTCCTTCGGGAAGTCCACAGTGGGGTCTGCGGTGACCACTCAGGGTCCCCGATCGATAGCGCACAAAGTCTTCCGGCAAGGGTATTGCTGGCCGACCCTACACCAAGATGCGAACGTCCTAGTTAAGAAGTGCGACAATGCCAACGGTTCGGTAGTGTCCCTCACATCCCTGCCGAGCCTCTCTCACCGATCGTAAGCTCATGGCCCTTCGCCTAGTAGGGACTGGACTTGATTGGCCCGATGCCGCAAGGTAAGGGCCAAGTCAAATATGCTGTTGTCGCCGTAGATTGCTTCACCAAATGGGTAGAAGCCGAACCGTTGGCTACGATAACGGTAGCCAAAATGGAAGATTTCATCTGGACGAACATTTGCTGCCGATTCGGAATCCCCTATGCAATTATCACCTTTAACGGCAGGCAATTTCGATTCGGAAGCCTTTAGGCAATTCTGCACTGGCCTCAAGATCAATCCGTTCTTCGCTTCGCCAGCTCACCCACAATCGAACAGTCAGGTCAAAGCGATGAACAAAATTGTCAAGAAGCTATTGAAACGGCAGCTTGACAAAGCCAAAGCAGCCTGGCCGGAGAAGCTTCCAGAAGCGTTATGGGCCATCCGGACATCTTACCGAACGGCAACCGGGGAAACACCGTTCTCGATGGCTTTTGGCTCGGAAGCGGTAGTCCCAGTGGAAATCGGAGAGCCCTCCTACCGAACGGAAGCTTTCGCACCAAAGGTGAATGAGGAGGCGCTCACCTTGAGCCTCGACCTGATCGAAGAACGCCGAGCACAAGCCAACCTTCGGAACGAAGCTTACAAGCAGCGCGTCTCTCGGTACTATGACTCCAGGCTCAGATCCCGCTCGTTCCCAGTCGGAGATTGGGTCGTGCGAAAAGTCTCTCTGGCAACTAAGGACCCCAAGGAAGGAACCCTCGGACCTTCCAGGGAAGGACCTTACGAGATCATCGGTATCCAGCGATCGGGGACTTATCGACTCAAGGACTCCAACGGAAAGACCCTCGGTCATCCTTGGAACGTAGAGCATTTGAAATACTACTTTAAATGATGTCACCTAGCTTACGGCAGGTAGAAAACATTGTTAAAGCCTTCGGCTTATTCTTGCTCACAGCCTACGGCAGTGTAGAGTTCCCTAGCCTACGGCAGGTTTTCAATTGTAAAACGAACTCCAAATGTATCTTTGCCTTAGGCAATTATTAATGAAAAGGCCTTCGGCGCTTTTATTCGCAACCTTCAGTGTGTTCATTTATCAAAAAAATATGAGGTAGAGACCATCGGTCGCAGTATACTACATTTTAAAATCCTTTTATTTGCCTTCGGTAATTGGGGTACCACGATATCCTTTCCTACTGACAGAGGTTTAACTTGTCTTTTATTAAGCTTATTAAATGACTTTAAAATCACCTTATTTAGCCATCGGCACTTGAAGGGTAATTTCAGAGTCACTATTACAAGCCCTCGGAAGTAAAGTGTTAAGCCCAAAGTTGCTTACCGATTTAGCCTACGGTTGTTAAGCCAATAATTCTGCCTTCGGCAGTTACAATGATTAGTTTTGAACCTCAGAAGTTAGCTTGCACTAGCCTACGGCAGTTAAGTCAATCATACCGAAAGTAAAGCTACTTGACCAATCATGAAAATTAAAGTGCTTGAATTAAAGGATGCCCTCGGCATCAAAGTGTTCAAAACATATTGCCTCATGACAGATTACATTTAATAAAAACTTAAACAAAGCTCAAGCGGCAGTCTCCTCCTCAGCATCAGGGGCAACGGGCTCTTCCGGGACGTCCTCCACTTCGTAATCTTCTATCATCTCCAAGAGCTCGACCAGCTTTAGTTGAAAATGAGAAGAAGCTTTTGGAGAAGATTATCATTGCAGAGCGTACAAAACTTTCTGTCAGGCGGCGGCCTCCTCGGCCTCGGCAGCGACCCCATCGCCTTCGGCAATACCCTCCTCGGCATCGGCAGGAGCCTCTTCTGGGGCATCCTCCCCCTCGTACTCCTCGATCATTTCTTCGATTATGCCTTCAAGAAGAGGGGGAGGATCGGCAATGAAGTTGAGGTTAAGCTTTTTTCCAGGGTTGTACCGCTTGAAACGGTATAGCAGATCCACCATTTCCGAGCTCACTTCCTTGTCAAGCAAGGTAGTGAACTCTGAAGACTAACGGTACCCCCGTATCGCCTCCTGAACAGCAGCCTCGATCTCCGAAGCCCTGACCCGCTCCGACTCCTCAAATGCCACCTGGATCGCCTCCTTCGACTCCAGAGCCTCCTTTTGCCGCTAGCTGCGCCGACTCCAAAGGTGCCGACATCTCACCGAGCTTGGCTTGATAAGCTTTAACCTGCCGTTCGGCAGCCTGCATGTCCTTCGCCAAGTTCGCCTGAGGTTGGATAGCCTTGCCAGACTCGGCAACCTTCGCCCTGCAGTCTTCATAAGCCTTCTTCGCCTTTTCGGCGGCATTAATGGCTCACTTGACGCACAGCCACATGTCCATCAAAGCCTGAAGAGCAAAAGAAAATGTCAGACAAGGATGGAAATAGACGGTACGGAAAGTTAAGAATGGTCAAGTACTTACCGAAGCTTGAAGACGGAAAGCGCGGCCAGCCTCCTCCCGAAGGAGCTTCTTCGGCAGGTCCTCGATATCAGATAGCTCCATTTGTGAACCAAGGATCATGTGGTTCACAAATTGGACCGTCTTCAAAGGACAGGCCAGAGTGACAGCTTCGGGAGGCGCCTCGTCGTCCTCGGCAGCAAAGATGGCCCTAGCAGGCTCGGCCTGTCGCCCGCGCTTTGGAGCGAGATCGGCCTCCTGATCGACTGTGAATGGCCTTCTGCCGGCAGCTTTGGAGGAGGTACCCTCGGTAGGCATACCTCGGCTGGGAGACTGTCCAGTAGCAGCCGCTTCGGCACGCGCCGATTCAGCGTTCATTTGACGACGACGCTCGTTGAGGGTTAGGTCCTCGGGGTCAACTCTTCCCGAAGACGCCGGTGCCGTTTCCGGCTGCCGCCACTTTTTCTTCTTCCCCTGCATACCGAGCATGAGGCGCCACTTGGAGGACTCGTTCATCCTCTTTGCCTCGGCAGCCCTCCTCTCTTCGATCACTACAAAGCAAAGATCGGTCAGATTTCCTATTATGGCTTTAAACTGTGTCGAAATGAACAAGTACACTTACTCTCGGCAGGGTTGACAAGTTGAGCTTTGATAAGATTGGTGGTGAAGAGGAACTTCGGGCAAATTCTCTCCACGGGAGGGACCTACAGCCTCACCCTCTCGATCTGCCAGATCTCCGCTTGTGTAGCGCTCGGCTGCTTCAATTTGCCTGCACAAAAAGGGAACGGAATTAAACTTTCTGAAGGACGACACACTCTATGAGGCCTACCGAACGGTACGATGGCGTACCGGCAATTTGGAAGGTCGTGGGAATGTGGAAAAAAACGAATGTCCCGAGGGCGACTCCCAGTCACCGGACAGAAGCACTCGCCGTTTCCTCCACGTCTTCTGAGAGGTTGGCACAGCATTGACAAAATTGCCGCGCTCGGTAGCCTTCAGGCAGTTAGCCTGAACCCAACCCCCGTGGTCAGCAGACTTCGACTTCGTAACGCTGTACAGATGGGAGAACTACTCGTACGAAGGCTCTCCCTCGCCAGCCATGCCGAAGGCTGTGACCACACCCATTAGCGCTACCCAGAAGTTGGGGTTGAACTGGCCGGGAGCATAGCCTATCTGCGCTAAGATCCTCTTAACGGCGGGCTGTAGAGGAAGCCTCACTCCTTGCAGAAGTACGTCCGTGAAAAAAGACGACTTCGCCATCCTTCGGATTGCTTAAAGATTTGGTAGGATTTGGAATCCTCATCCCTACCGAATCTAGTATGAAATACTCGACACGGAACTTCGCAATCTCTCTCTCTCGGTAATCCTGTTGGGCTCCAAATAATCTATCCCGAAGACGAGCTCCTTCGGAACTCCCATCGTACCCTAGGATTGCTGGGATAGACTACCGAAACCCTCGCCCGAAGAGATGGTTCGGCAGCTGACTCTCCACGACCGGAAGTGGAGGCCTCTAACTGGCGACTAGCGCTCACCTCCCTAGGCAGGGCCTGACTAACGTGGCGACCGTCGCTATAGACTATAGCCAATGGTACCGGTGCAGTCATTAACCCCTTTCCGATGCCGTGTGTAGGAACGGAGCTAGGCCCTTCACCGAGTATCTTAACATCGGTATCACTTCCGTCCTCGGCATCAGGCCCTGCCGCATCACCATCGGAGTCAAAGAGACCGTCCGATGACTCCTCGTCGAACGCATTCGGCTCACGCTCGGAGAATGACTCGCTATCAAACATCTACAAAAACAGGGAAAAAGGAAACTAAGGCTCATGCCGGATGCTATCCTACCGATCCCTACATCACTACCTATGGCGACTAGACTACCGAATGGAACCCTATGGTCAGTCTAGTTCAAACCAAGGAAGGACGTAACTCTTAAGATAATTAAGAGAGTAAATTGAAGGTGTCGAACGGTACCTTAAATCAAACTCTGGAAAAGAAACACGAACTACGCTCCCGTTTGCAACGCTGGAAATCGCCTGGTTACTGTTAGCCCTTGTCGGAAATCGCCTTGAATGCCGGAAGCTCTCGTCGGAAATCGCCTCAACAGAGCTCTCGCTTCTCACGAAATGCAAAGTGATTTCGCCTCCGGGGTCATCTCTATTTATAGGGAGAGGGATCGCAACGGTATACCTTGGAAAACCAAACGGCGCATTAATGCGCCGCGCACCATGATTACTCTCGCCACATGTCGCTCATCCTATGGGGGACTGACGGCACGCGAGGCACGGAAGACGAAGCGCCCAGATGTCCCTTCACCCGTCCACTCGACGCGACCTTCTGACTCCCCCGACGTGAGCCTCTGAATGAACAAGAACGAAAGAGCCAAAATTGAGCCCTACCACCAAACTGGTTTACCGAACGGTATGACAACATTTCCTTCCGAAGACAACTTCAAATCCCCTTTCGAGAACTCTCGCAAGAGGACTTGGGGGACTCCTGTTTATACCAAAATGAACAGCCAATGAACATCGGACACGTGGACCAAACTAGAGCTATGGGAGCCTTCGGCACCTAGCTTCGGTATCATGCCTACCGATCGCACGATTAGGGCAACCTCACCCCCAGGGACACGTGGCAGTCCCACAATTGACGTCCAGAGTCCCACATCGAAACTCTAAACAAATTGCACACCTCCCAAGGCCTATAAAAGAGGGCAACTATCCCAGCTTGGAGGTAATCAATCAGAACTCACGGCATACTGCCTATTGATCTGTAGTTCAAACTTACTAAATCCGTACTTACTTAAGCATCGGAGAGCCTTCGGCCGGTACCACACCGGTGCCCTAGGTCTTACCAAGCGTTCGCTATTTTGCAGATCGAACGCCATACCGAGGCCCAGAGCATACCGAATGCCCAAATATCTCTAAGTTGCGCGGGAAAGTGCCTAACCATTTTTCTGTGTCAACAACTTACACCACCACATATGCAAAATATACTACACAATTGGTACCACGGAACCAATTGTTACACAACAACAACATAATATTCTTTGAAGGGTCAAATACTTCCCTTATGGACACACCAAACATGCATACATAAACGTACAGATACATGGCCTTGGGCTAAGTTCTGCTTCCCCTCGTAGCCCTTGTGCCTCTTGGCTTCCTCCTCCTGCTAAATGTCTCCACAAACCATTCGTGCTTCTTTGTTGTCCATATGTCCCCAACAAGACCACTAACAACTCCTGGCACAACCACGTACCAATCTAGTGCAATTTGAAATACAGAGTCTTCATCTTCTCCCACGATTGATGGTGGTGGCCACGTTGAGCTCTCAGAATCTTCAGATTTCTTTGGCAGATACTTTCCACACAGACCTGAGTTTCCTTCGTACGAGTCCTCCAGGAATGTATCGAATTGTTCACCAAGTGGTATAGGCCCGAAGAGATAATTATGGGATACATTAAAATATGCAAGGAAAGTGAGTTGTGCTAAATTATTCGGGATCCTTCCTGAGAGCTGGTTCTGGGAGAGATCTAATGATTCGAGAGCAGCCAAGTCCCCTAAAGATGAGGGGATGTGACCAGTGAGAGAGTTGTTGGAAAGGTTCACCAAAACAAGGCCTCTTAGAGCATTTCCAGCAAGAGGCCCAAGGGGAGGGCTAGGGGGGGCAAGCCCAAAATGGTGTTTCCAGCAACAAAATTTTGCCAGGACAAGGAGTGGGACCCAACGAACTGGGCTGGCCCGAGCTCCAAAACTCGGTTTGGCTGACGTAAGCGCTGGAGTTTAAATCTACGCGCCCACTACAGTGCCCCCCCAACGGCTCTCTTCCACGTGGTTGGCTCTAGGCTCTCGGATCCCTTTTTTTCTAGCAATCCAACGGCAGCCAATTTTTTCCCAATAAAACAAAGAAAAAAAATCGAAAAAAATTTAAAAAAATACCCACAAAATACTGAAATTTTTTTCTATAAATACCAACCAATATTCTTCACTTTTAACACCAACTCCTCATACATTTTCTTCTCCTTCTACTATTATTCACTTTCTACCCAATATTTTTTTCACTTTCAAGTTATATTTTTCTCTATCATATTATGGGTTCTTCTAGTGAAACCGGAGAGGCATGGAGCATGATGGAAGATGTTAGCTTGTGTAAGTCTTGGCTCCAAATGAGTCATTGTCCCGTAACGGGCAATGAGATGAAATTCTGTCATATGTGGAAAAAAATTCATCAGGATTTTTGTGAAAGGGTAATTGGTTCAACCCGTACGGAAATTGCAATATCTAGTAGGTGGAAAATTCTTAATAAAGAGTTTGCGAAATGGAGAGATGCCTTGGCAAAAGCGATGGACAACCATAGAAGCGGGAAAAACCTTAGCAGTGAGGTAAATTATTTGAAATTTTTGTTTTATTAATTTCTATGTCATATTAAATTTTATTTAAATGTTTCTTGCAATTTATATATTTTGTTAATATTTCTTGTATTTCCAATATTAATATGAATGTTTCTTGCAATATTTATATTTTGTTTTGCATTTCTAATAAATTGTTAAAGTTTCTTGCGTTTATATTTTGTTTTGCATTTCTAATAAATTGTTAAAGTTTCTTGCGTTTCCATTTTTTTTTTAATACTTGTTGCATTGCCAATATTTTTTAAAGTTTCTTGCATTTCCATTATTTTTTTTTATACTTGTTGCATTGCCAATATTTTTTAAAGTTTCTTGTATTTCCTTTTTTTTTAATAGATTATGCAAGCACAAATGTTTTTTGGTGCTACTGGGCAAGGCAAAAAAAGTTTCAACCATACCCTATGTTGGGAGGTGGTGAAGAATTGTAAGAGATTCCAAATTATTCCATCGGGTCCGACGGTAGTGTTAAACGAGACGCCACTCCATGAGACACCGGCATCGGATTCACCTATGGATTCCCAGATGAGTCAAGACTCATCCATCGAAAAGGAGCCAAGGCCTATTGGGAGGAAGGAGGCGAAGGCGAAGAGAGGGAGTAATTCTACCAAGAATGCATCAAAATATTTGGAGGAAATTTCAAAGATGCAAGCCATGAGAATTGAAATGGACATGAAACAACAAGAGCACGATAGGGCAATTCAACCAGAATATGCAAAAGAAATGGAGTATGTACGCCAAGAAAAGATTGAAAAAAAGGATCGGGAAACCATGGCTATGGATACAACCTATATGTCCCCTAAAACAAAACAATTTTAGAAGCTAGAACGAAGGGATGTCATGAGACGAAGACTTTTTCATGACAATGGACCTAGCAACACGGATTGGTTAAATGATCAAAACCATTAAGTGAGTTTGCTTGCCTTTCATTTCATTGTACCATTAAGTTAGTTTGCTTGCTTGTCTTTCATTTCATTGTACCATTAAGTTAGTTTGCTTGCCTTTCATTTCATTGTATTTTTTGTTTTGTTTAAAAAATTAGTGGTAATTCATGTATTTTATTTTATGAGTTGTATTGATTTTCTTTTAGTGAATAAAGAAAATATTCAACAAAATTCCTTTTTATTGAAAACATTCCATACATAAAAAGCAAACCACAACCAAAGCATAAAAAATAAACAAACCACAACTAAAGCATAAAAAAATAACAAAGCATAACTAAAAATACAACATAAACATAATACATTAAAAAAACATCTTCACTTCACTTCATTCACCTTCATTGCCTTTCACCGCCCACAAATGCTCCATCAAGTCAACTTGACGGCGTTCATAAATATACGACGATTGCATCTCCGTGTAGTGCTTAATCATACGAGGCATGAAACTACCGTCTCTAACTAACGGATAATGCTGCACTGGTTCTCCATTTGGCCCCATAGGTTTTTCATAAATTCATGTTAAGGTCGTGTTCATAGGATCTAGTTCATACACTTCATCAGCATCGTAATCATACTCATCTTCCACAATCATGTTGTGGAGGATGATACAAGTCATCATTATACTCCTAAAAACCTCCTCGTCAAATAGACGCGCCGCGCCCCTGATAATAGCCCATCGGGATTGAAGGATACCAAAGCACCTCTCCACATCTTTTCTGTACCCCTCTTGATAGGCAACAAAAAAAATTTCCTTATGGGATCAAGGATGTGGAATTGATTTCACAAATACTGTCCACCTTGGGTAGATACCATCAGCTAGATAATACCCGTTCTGGTATATGGTATTATTGATTTGATATGTGATATTTGGGCCTTCACCTCTCAGAACATCATTGAACACTGGGGATTGACCCAGGACGTTCAAATCATTTTGAGAGCCGACAACTCCAAAGAAGGTGTGCCAAACCCATGTATCAAAACCAGCAACTACTTCGAGGATGATGCTTTTTTGCCCTTTCCGATTGCCATAATCCCATTGCCAAGCAATTGGATAATTTTTCCATTGCCAGTGCATGCAGTCAATGCTACCAATCATTCCAGGAAATCCACGAGACTCAGCTTTTTGTAGAAGTCGTTGCAGGTCCTTGGGCGTAGGTCTGCGCAGGTAGTCCCTGGTGTACAGAGTTTCCACAGCACCACAAAATCGCACCAAGCTCTCCAAAATAGTGGACTTCCCCATCCGGGCAATCTCATCCACCTGATCAGTAGATAACCCATACGCCAACATTCGTATCACAGCTGTGAACTTTTGCTCAGGAAGAAGCCCCAAATTTCCAGCACAATTTTTCTTTTGAACAAAGTATTCATCATAATTGCAAATATCATGCATGACTTTATTGAACAAATGGGGTTGCATTCTATATCACGCTCGAAAATGAACATCAAAGTACAGAGAATGTGGGATAAAATAATCTTCCAGAAGATTCTTACCCCGAGAATGTCTATGTTGTCCACATTCGGGGCACGGCCTTCTCGTGAACCACGGCGGCTCTGGTTTTCTTCCTCCAACAAAGCAACGGCCATGCTAAGTTGCTCATCTAGTTCTCTATGCACCCTTTTGCTCGCAGCTCGTCGACGCATTCTTTCTCTAATTTCTCGCTCTTGCCTCTCCAAAACCTCTTGCATGTATGCCATTGAGAATGGAGAATGAAATCTAAAATATGAGAAATGGAAATGTAGAGAAGATCTGGTGTGGGAGGTATGAGCTGAGCCTCTGGTTTAATAGAAAAATGTAGACATATAGATATGACACGTGGCGCAATCTTAGAGAGTGAAAATCTTATCTGAAATTTGAAATTTGAAATTTATCTGAAATTTGAATTTCGAAATGTATTTGAAATTTGACATTTTGAATTTATCTGAAATTTTAAACCGAAAATCTTATCCGATATGAATAGTATTGACACATAGGAACCCAAAAATCTTATTCGAAAATATTATCCAAATTAATTGTTTAAGTAAACAAAGCAGTGAAAAAAAATTTTGAATCGTATTTGCCATGGCAAGCCTAAAATGCTAGAAACACACTTTGCTTTTTTTTGGGTGGGGGGGGGGGGGGGGGGGGGGGCAGCCATTCATGTGAATAGCAGCTGCCCTAAGGCTCCCCTTGCCATGACAAAGGGCTAACTGGTGGAAATGCTCTTAGGTTCCCAACGGGACCTTCTGGAATCTCTCCTTCAAATCTATTACTTGACACATCTATGAGTGTGACAAGATAAGGGGTCTTGTCATATTTCAACTCAACACCTTTGCCACTTATTTTCATTGTGTAATGAAAATAAAAGTATTCTCCACCGACAACATCCGTAAATACTTCAAAATAAGTTCGCTGGTTTTCATCAACATATTTCATGGAATTCCAGATCTCTAAGTAGTTAGAGGGCAACATACTTGAGAAACCATTGCTAGATAAGTCAATGATGCGCAAATTTGGGAACTCATGTTTAGTTGCATGCTTCCCAATTACGCCATGAAATCCATTAGACCGCAAAATGTGAATCCTTAGTTCTGGAAGTGCCCCAAACCAAGATTGGAAGATGTCACTCATCGGATTGTTTGCAAAATTAAGAACCTTTAACTGAGTACAATTCATCACCCCTCTTGGTAGCTTCCCTTGCAACTTATTATAACTAAAATCAACAATTCTCATACTAGTTTTGCTTGGACATATTGGAGGAATATATCCACTAAAAAAATTGTTATGCAGGGCCAATATTTACAAAACACTAGAGTTACCCAAACATTGTGGAAGCATGCCACTGAGGTTGTTGTTGGACAACTCGAGAACTTGAAGATTATTGAAGTTGCAGAACATAGGGGAAATTTCTCCAGTATATTCGTTCTTTCGACAGCATAAAATCTGATTGATTGCGGTGGAATTGGCAGAAGTCCTTGTAACATGTTCAACCCAAGAGTCAGAAAGATCAGATTTTTCCATGGGAGAATACCTGGATATTGGTCAAATCCTGTCAAAAAGTTGTCATAGAGACGGAGTTCCAACAAACTTTCAATAGTTGCATTCCAGACCCATTTCGGTATTGGGCCGTGAATATAGTTGTCAGAAAGGTCTAGCTCAGTCAACTCGGATTGATTTGTCAAAAATTTTGGAAACTCTATTAAGTTGCAGAAGCCCAGTGCTAGAGTTTGAAGCTTTGGTAGAGTAGCACTTAAATCATTTCTGATCTCCATAGATGTTCGATAAATCAAGGCCCTTCAACTTTTTGAGCTTGGAAAACTAATCAAACTCAACCAACCCACTCAAGTTATTATCGGAAAGAAAAAGATATTCAAGATTTTTGAGTTGGAAGAGCGACCTAGGAATTGGTCCTTGCAAATGGTTATAACCAAGGTCTAGAAATTAAAGTTGTGTCAGGTTAGACACAAAAGATAGGAATTCTCCCTCTATATCTCCAAGGCTCAAGTGGTAGAGTTTGGTTAGTTTTCCAACCCAAGAAAAAGAAACAGATAGCTTGCCTTTGGAAACGTCAATAAATGAAGAAATGGAAAGGTAACTGAGTTGGGTTAGGTTTCCGATTGAAGATGGAACATTGGGATGAAAATTACAACATGAGATTTTAAGCACAATCAAGGAATGAAGGTTTTCGAGGGAGGTAGGCAGTTGGCCAGAGAAATTTGTGACCGCAACATTCAATTTCTTGAAAACATTGCTCTTGTTAAAGGTGGGAAAATAGCCTGTTAGGTCTGAGTTAGAGCTCACATAAAGAACCTCTTAAGTTTGGTAGATGGAAAATGCCAACTGGGAATTCCCCATACAACCCACAATTGTCAAGTTGGAGAGATGTAAGAGAAGATGCATTGACCAAGATATCAGGCACAGTGGAGTATATGTGTACCCCACTAAGATGAAGCTTTTTTATGTTGGTCAAGTTTTGAACGACGCTTCTCAGGTTGCCCTTGGTCAGTTTCAAAGGAGTACTATCATTAGCTTTCTGATCATTGAACGACATATCAAGGGTAGACAGCTTCGATAACTTTGAAATTTTTGATGGAATTTCTCCGGAAAACAAGGAATTTGAAAGGTTGAGATATGTTAGACTCGAAAGATTAACCGAACCTTGATGGTATTTGAGAAAAATTGAAGTGATTATCTGAGAGGTTAAGCCTCTGCAAGTGAACAAGGCGGAAGAGAGTGTGGAGTTTATAGAACTATAGAGACAGCTGCTACGGAGATCAAGGCCGACAACATGGCCGAAGTCTTCATCACACTCAACACCATCCCATGAACAACAATTACTCCGATTCCCATCTCCTTCTCGCGTCCAAAATGAAACCTTCGGATAAGCAAGATGATATGCAGAAACAGACTTGCTAATTGAAAGCTTTCCTTGAACTGCAGCAAGGTTGAGCACTCATCAACCTGGCCAAGTGCATGAGTCTGTACATGTAAAAAACAGTGAGTGGCATTGAGTAATAGCAAAATAAAACTACATACAGAAATAAACTTCGACCACCACGATTCCATTCCCATCGCAGCTTTGTTTTCTAATTGAGAAATCCACCTCCTTTTATAGACTCATGCAAAATAATCAAGGAAAATGGGGATGCTTGATGAGCGGTGATTAAGCCAAATCAATCACTCCAAGACTTAAAGGCTATCTAGCCAATAAAAGTAATCAAGCAATGATAGTGGAGAAGAGAAAAGAAGAAAAAGGGGCCCTTTAAAATTTGGTTAAGAAAAGTAATCATTGTATTAAAGAAAATTTGAGAGGGACCTCTGCTCCCTCCACCACTACTTAAAGACTTGGAAGTCAAGTCGTCTGCGAGACGTTCATCTTTGTCTCTGCTTAATATGCATGTACCTCACTGACTTGAAGTCCAGTTATTAAGGCCAATCTACCATTAATTAATGTAATGACTTGGTCAAGGTTATCGTCTTCATGAAAAAAAATGGTTATACAACTTGTGGGAGCATATATTTTTGTCTCCAATCAAGGCACGCCACGTGGAAAAGAAGATCATCTCTTAAATTAATTAATTGAACCAGTTTATCTGGCCAATTAATTAATTGGGATAAATATCTTAATTAATGGGATATTATCTCTATTTAATAAGATAATACCATTAATTTAGATATTATCCTAATAAAGAGAAGATAATATCATTAATTCAGATATTATCTTCATAAAAAGAGATAATATCATTTAATTCAGATATTATCTTAAATAAAGAGAAGATAATATCATTAAATCATATATTATCTAAGTCCGACTCGATCCCTATGAATTTGGGTAGAGAATAAACTCAGCATATTCTCTACGAAACCTTAGCCCCGAGGCTCCTATAAATAGACTACTTCATTCATCATTCAAGGTACATCTAAACCTTCTCCAAAACCCGAGAAAAATACCCGAAGCTCTCTCTCCCTCTCCACTCTCCATATTTTCTCCACACGACTCCGGCCACCACACACGGCTCCGGCCGCCCGGTTCACACCCTACATAAATTTCGTACCCTTTGCTTAGCTATTGTTTTTCTACACACTCGAACTAAGTTAGGCATCGGAGGGCCTTTGGCCAACACCCCCGGGTGTGGTCTATTAACTCCAATATGTTTTACAGGAATTGAGGAAGAGAGAGAAGGAAGATCGAAGGTTGAAGGATCTAGAAGCGAATATTCTCCCGCGAGATTATTTGCACAAACACAACTCATGAAAAAAAATCAATGAAAAACTTCCTTTGAAAAACGACTTCCTATTGAGGACGTCTTTTGTCTGTATATAAAACAAGTGGTCGCCTTTTCATCCTCTGCCTCAATTAAGGTTAGTGGGTCATGCCCGTTTCTCCAGTTCCATGCTCTTTGTTCCCAATGATTTCATCAAAGACCCAGCTACACTTAATTTCAGTTTTTTGAATATGTAGGTCAAAACTTGATATCAACCCTCGAATTGATTCAAGAACTTCATTTCTGAAAACCCAGTTCTATACGTGGTACAGTAGGAAAGTATGAACAAATTCTCATTTCGTCAGTTTTCTAGTTTGCCCAATTCAATTGCAAAAGAACCCGCCTTTACAAACCCCACAACTTGTGCGAAATTTGGAAAAAGGAATTGGAATTCACTTCCTATTCCCCACAAAACAATTCCTGAGCCCAAAGGGCAGGACCTTGATTTTGTGAATGTTGCAAACAACCATCTAATTCACTTTGACTTTGCTAAGCTCAATTCCTTGTCCAATGGTCTAACAACTTTCAGAGTGAAACGTATACTGCTAAAGATTAAGCAGGACTATGTTCTTTCCCTTGAGTTTTTCAATTGGGTTGCAGCTCAAAACCCCACTTCACTTACCCTTGAAACACACTCCATGATTCTCTACATTCTCACCAAATACAGGAAGTTCAAGTCTGCAGAGTCTATTTTGAGAAAGGTTCTTGTCTCGGGTTCGATAGATTTGCCGTCCAAGTTGTTTGAAGCAATATTGTATTCGTACCGCTTGTGTGATTCTTCTCCCCGTGTTTTCGATTCTCTTTTCAAGACTTCTGCGCATATGAAGAAATTTAGAAATGCCACAAATACATTTTGTCAGATGAAGGATTATGGATTCTTCCCAACAGTTGAGTCTTGCAATGCATATCTGAGCTCATTGCTTGATTTACATAGAGCTTATATTGCTTTGGTATTCTATAGAGAAATGCAGCGTTGTAGGATTTCACCAAATGTTTATACTCTTAATATGGTTATATCTGCTTATTGTAGATTGGGAAAATTAGAGAACGCTGTTGAGGTCCTTGAGAAGATGGACAGCATGGGTTTTAGTCCTACTGTTGTATCATATAACACGCTGATTGCAGGACATTGTGATAAGGGTCTTCTGAGTTCGGCTTTGAAGTTCAAAAACTTGATGGCGAAGAATGGATTGCACCCTATTAACGCAGAAAAATGGTTCGGCACTTTCCCGCGCAACTTAGTGATGTTGGGCCTTCGGCATGCTCTGGGCCTCGGTAAGGCGTTCGATCTGCAAGATAACAAACGCTCGATAAGACCTAGGGCACCGGTGTGGTACCGGCCGAAGGCTCTTCGATGCTTGAGTAAGTACGGATTTAGTAAGTTTGAACTACATATCAATAGGCAGTATGTCGTAAGTTCTGATTGATTACCTCCAAGTTGGGATAGTTGTCCTCTTTTATAGGCCTTGGGAGGTGTGCAATTTGTTTAGAGTTTCGATGTGGGACTGTGGACTCCAATTGTGGGACTGCCACGTGTCTCTGGGGGTGAAGTTGCCCTAATCGGGCGATCAGTAGGAACGGTACTGAAGCTAGGTGCCGAAGGCTTCCATAGCTCTAGTTTGGTCCACATGTCCGATGCTTTATTGGCTGTTCATTTTGGTATAAACACACCCGAGTGTGGTTACTTTTAACTCACTTATTGATGGGTTTTGCAAAGAAGGAAAACTAAAGGAAGCAAACAGAGTTTTTAGTGAGATGAAAGCCGTGAATTTTGCTCCTGATACCGTAACTTACAATACTTTGATAAAAGGGTACAGCCAAGAAGGTAATAGCGAGATGGGCAATAGGCTTTTTGAGGAGATGTCAAGGAATCAAGTAGATGCTACTATCGTGACTTATAATGCCTTGATATTGGGACTCTGCAAGGAGGGTAAAACAAAGAAAGCTGCACATCTGGTTAAAGAACTTGATAGAAAGCGCTTTGAAGTCTTGAAAGAAATGTTTGAGAGATATTTTGCTCTTGATTCAAGCATCTTATCTGATTTATGTCTAGGACTATGCAGATGCGGGAACGAGAAAATGGTAAAATTGTTATGCAGTGAGATGGAAGCTAGATGCCTCATCCCTCAAGGTCTTGACACGGCAAAAATTCTCTCCCCTGTAGTAGTGGAAGAAAACTGAACATTCGGAAATAACATGTAAAGGTGTACATTGTTTTCCTTGTACCTTTCAAAGAGAACGTTCTACGGTGTTTTGGATGCGGATTATTACTTGAGTTGTAAGAGGCCTTTGTTAATTGGTTTAATTTAAGTCCTTTTCTCTTGAGCCATGCACTTGAACTTGTTCCAGATAAGTTCATGTAAACAATTATCTGTCTTTGTTTTAAACAAGCCTTAAACATGGTTCCATACGAGACATAACCGTGGTAGATTGTAAGTTTAATTGAAGAAGTAATTGGTGCATCAATGAAAAATAACGTCTGCAATAGAGACCTGAACTGCAAAAGCTTCCATACTAATGCTGATGCTAATTTTGGTTAAAAGATGTCAAATATGCATACAACAAATCAAAAGTTCTCATCAGCTTTATGTAAAGTTATCAGCATTACAATTTTCATATACCTAGGACCTGCTCAAAACCCACCTACTTAAATATATCAGAGGTTTATAATTATGTCACGACTCCTCTTCGCCAACTTCAGCAGCAGCTATATGAGAATCCGAAGTGTTTATCAGCTGCTCGCTTACTGTTTTTGCCACAGATATCATAATTTCTACCCTTATATATACATATATATATATATATTTTTTGTATAGTACAACCCTAATTTCTACCCTTATCAGATAATCTCCACCAATTTCAAGAATTCTTTTCATCTTTCGACTGCAAGTAATTCATTTTATTTTGATATTCATGTTGAGGAGTGTGATGAGTGAATTATGTTTTTGTTTTGATGTTGAATAAATATTTTATATTTTGGGATTGATTATTATGCTTTGAATGATAATTAGTACTTATATTTTATTATATTTAAAAGATTGTTATGGTTCAATAAGAATTAGTTATACATTTAATTGTATTGTATTATTCATAAATTTTTCTTATTAAAATAAATTAATGTTCAAAAGTCTTACGTCTCGCATAGCGCTACTAAAAATGTCTTTCCTATACGCCCCCGCCTTTGAAAACATTGCTTTAAACTATAATTCAGGTTTTTTTTTAGTTTCTCACCTCTAAATTTCAATTTAAAGGTCCAAATTAGGTTCTCATACATTAGACTAGCCGCTCTCCCTGGTTCAATCCCTCCTTCATTGGGTTTTTTTCTTCAGGCCATGGGGAAAAATAACAGAATGGATGGGGGGAGCGAATGGATCTCTCTGTGTCTGTGGGTTTTTTTTTGTACTATTGCCAAATCATTCTTAGAGAATGAAGAAAAAAAATAAAGAAAGAGGGGAGAGAGAGAGAGAGAGAGAGAAAGAAGGGGGAAAGCTACGGACAGTGCGGAGAGAGAAAGCTCCAACCCATTAACCCCACCATCCAGCCTTCAATCTCAATCATCACCAACAATCTCCCCTTCCTTCCTTTCATAACTCTCTTTTTCTTTTTCCTCCTTAATTTCTTCTCTCTCTTGTTATTAGCTGCTTAATGGAATGTATTTGGCTCAAAAAAGAAATACCAGCTTCAAAGCATGATGTTTTTTTCTTTTATTTATTTATTTAATTTTTTTTACTTTTCATTTTTTAAATTTTTAAATTTTCATTTTTTATTTTATTTTTATTATTCTTAACGGGTGAAACGGGTCGTGTTATGTGATTCGGGAATTGTAATGAGACGTGTTCATGTGTGATACTTTTCACCTGTTTTCTTAACAGGTCGTGTCTTGTCATCCGTTAAGAAAAGCGGGTTAACACGAACACAACACGAACTGCTGGAATGGGAGGTCACAAGAGTGTTTCCTGGTTATCCCCTTTTGAATTTGGCAGGCTGCTGGAAGAGAACCGTGAGGGAGAGCTGCGGTAAGCATTGCCCCCTCTTCCTTCCTCTTTTTTTTTCTTTTTTTTTATGGTTTCCTTGTAAGGAATTCTATGAAGAAGAAGATTGAAGTTTCATGGTTCTTCTTCCTGGTTCCCTGCTGTTGTGCACTGTTTTGCTATTATGTGTGTGCGCGCGCGTGTGTGTTTTTTTTTGGCTTGAAATAAGATAATATCCACCAATTGGGAACATTAGGCACTCACTGAGTAATAGCTTATCTTGATTGAGTGAAAAACCTGTAGAAGATGCTTGGGTAAGTCAGAAGAGGACAAAAGTATGCCACCATCTCTGTCATATGCTTTATTTTTTAGAACCCATGTCTGTAGGGCGATTGACTTTGCTTTTCCATCTAAAAAAATAGCTAATTTGAGGTCCCGTGACATTAAGGAAATTAGCTTTGCCGTGTGGATTTCCAGGATGCTGACGAAATTGTTTTACTTTTACAGGCTTGTCCTTTTCTCTTTGCTAGGTTGATTGTCTTGCGATTTGTATTGGCTTCAAGTCCAACTTAGAAATCCAGCACCATCCTATTCTAACATTTATCCTTATTTCGCCTTGCATGTCGCATTTCTTTGGTGTGGGGGGCTAGCTTTTGGAACCGCAGGGTGTATAGTTCTTTAGGACAGTTGACTGCATTTGGGCTTGAGTTGTACCCTTTTTTTTATTTTTATTTTTTTATTTTTAGAAAGCCTAAAACTCATGTTGTTGGAACCTTGAAATATTGTTACATACTTTCTGCCAAAATTTTGATTTAGAATACTTGAGATATTAAGTTTCGGCTTGTTTTATATGCTTTGCTTCATTAGAAATGATGGAATGCATTGAGATAATGAGCTCCAACTTGTTTTGTACACTTCGCTTGGTTGGAAATGATGAAATGCATGAATTGCTTGAGATTTTAACATGTTGGATTGTGGTAGGTGCAATGTACATGCTGCCGAAATTTTGGCAGAATCCTTAAACAAAGCCTCGATGCAAAGCTTTAATGCTTTTGCAGGACCTCCTTAGTTATTTAATCATGCATACCCCTCTTACCATGCTTTAGAGAAGCCACGTCGATGCATGTTTTTGAAGAGGTTCTCGTGAAATCCAAGACTTTAGTTGCCGTAAAGCTTTGAGAGCCCAATGATTTTCTTGTTCTAACACCTCAAAGCGTACACATTTTGTTGCACATTTCTTCCTAATAGCTTGGCCTTGCGTACCCCATGTAATTTTTCTTAGGCATGGTGCTTGTTATCAGTTTGGGATCTCATTTGAGTGACTTCGCTTGTATACTTACTGTTGAACGACGTTTTTTTCTTCTTTTTTTTTTTTTTAATTTGCTTACGGTTTTTTCTTATACATATACATGCATATACTTTTTCTTTTTTCAACGCAAAGGAACTTCGAAATAAAGAAAGGGAAAAGCTTTAGGGACTGATTTTTTTCAAAATACACCTTCATTTGCGTTACAAAGTCCATTTAACACCTTGGCATGATGGTGCTTTTTACAAAAGTTTTTCCAAAAGCATAAGGTAAGAATATAGAAGGAGCCCATATCTGAAACAGAAAGAAAAGCAATAACAAAAGGATAGAATGCAAGGTTAATTTAGCAGTAGTAAGGCTTGAGCCACTTCCTGTTGATGGGATCCATTAGCATGCCTTACTTGATAGAGACCAAACGGTAGTAGCCACTGTTGTAAGCTTCTTCGACTGCGAACGAGCCTTCCATGTCTTCGTCAATGGAGACAACAGCATTGTCATTTTCCAAAAACAACCTTTGTAGTTGGGCAGTAAAGTAATGAGGACCATACTATATAGAGATGTTAATAAGGGCTACGACAGCTGCTTCCTTTGCTTGTGGTCCAAAGCCAATTTGGTCGAAAAGTGACTTGAACTTTGGATTCCTCTAAAAACCTATGAAGCGATAGACTCCTGCTTCATACCTAAGTAACGCTCCATCACACTCGTTTCAACTTCTGTGAGATTATGGAACATTACACCAATTGTTTCTTGATAATCTTACTGGCCAAATGGAGCCCCCAAGTGGCGTTCTTCCGGGATGTCCAATGTGAATACTTCGCTGTTGGAACCATCCTCTCATCCATCAGCAAGTGGCCATAAGGTGTTATAGCTATATTTACGCCAATAGGGTTTTCTCCATATTTCGCAAGGCTCCCAAATAGCCTCCGGTGGCTTTAGGTCATTCTTCCATGGGTGGCTCAACTCATTATCGTCAAGCAAGTCATCAAAGCATGTAATGACGGAGACTATCTCCTTTCCTCTACGCTTCGATAAGCGATCTTCGTCAGTACGTGCTTTTTGGAGAATAGCTCAAGAGTTTTGTTGTAACATCCCGATCCTTAATTAATATTTAATTATTAATTTATTCCAATAAAAGACCACTATACCCTTAGAATATTTTAATGATTTAAAAGTTAACTTTTTGACCAGGAAGGAATTTGGGAATTTCAGTTATATCGTTGCGTAGAGCGCAGCGAGATGAGTCCGTAGATACGTAGTGGACTCAAATCGGAGTTGTAACGAAGGATTTAAGATCAAAAGAAGTTCAGTGGCATAACCGTAAATATTTCGAAGTTGAGTTCTTAAAAACCCAAATTTCTCCTATGTCGGCAGCTGGACCAGCCGAATTCCAAAGGTGATATCTCTCAGCCCCGACCACCAAATCGAGCAAGACCAGTGCCAAACGAACCACCTCACTCCCCTCTTTCAGTCTCAGCCCATCCCAGCCTCGATCCGCCATCCTGGTCGCCAGAAACCGCCACGAAACAGGGCGGTTTGGACAGTTTTTTATGGAATTTCACGGAGCTCGTTCGGACGCCTCCGGCCACCAAATCGGACGAGTGAGGTATGGTTTTCTAGCTATTTTCCATGCTCTAACTGCTGGTTGGGTAGGATTTCAGAAATTCCAAGCGTAAATACTTCGTTTGTTAAGTTAGGTTTCAGCCGGTTTTAAGGGTGCGATTCCGGCCACTTCTGGCCAGTTTTTGGGGTAAGTCCAAGAACAAAAGTGGCTCCAAATAGGGTTTTACACCTAGAGTAGGAACCTTGACCCGTGATTCGGAGTTTTTCCGACGAAGCGTTATCGCTTTAGGCACCACTCGCTGCCGGCGCGTGTGGCGGTGCGTGGGCAGCAGGGTGGGTACCACAATCAGCCTGCAATAATCTCCTAGTCCCCATGAGCGCGTAGGATTTCATGGATCTTAATTCGGATAACGTTGAACGGATCTTGCCTAATGTGTGATTTCCGGGTTCAATACGTTTGAACCGTTGGATCGTAACCATTTTCAGATATGTTAATCTGAGTATTTGACAGATCGTGAAATGGAGTCTCGGATACTCCAGGAATGTCAGCCCTAGTGCGAGTTTACAGATAAATAAACCAGTTACAGATAAACGAACCAGTTGCAGACCAGGAACAGATGAAAGAACTACGTGTGGCTTGATCCCTCAGTAAGGGTACGTAGGCAGCCTATAGTTATCAGGCGCAGCCACGAGTTAGGGCCTCAGGGTTTGTGTTATTGTTTTCATGGCATTTTGGTCATTTACGACCCACAGCCACCAGGTGTCAGTTTTAAACAGGATTCGACCTGGATTCCAAAGTGGAATTTGGGTCGGGTCGTTTCATTCGTTATGTATCTTGGCGTGCAAGATTTTCCTCAAAGTTTGGCAGGTAGCGGTTGGATGTCCCACAAACTGGTGGTAATGGCAGTACCTCAGATCACCCTTTTCTTCTATGGGTAAGAGTAACTTTATTTGCTAAGTCCAATCCCATAACTACGGGCAGCTCGAGTTCTAGTTCTTTACAGGACAAATGGGAACTATAGCTAATAAGTGTGCCCTAAATATAATCCTACTTAAGTGGAATCCTACTTATACTCTTTCTACTATATTAGCATGTCGGTTTCCAAGTTATTAGTAGCTTGGTAGCTAAGCCAATAGTAGTTTATTTATGGTCGAGGCATGACGCTACATGGGGGCTTTGATTGCACCATCAGCAAACATTGTATCAAGAATAGCATGGAACTCTTCATCTTTGTACGGCAGTGGCGGGGTACGTCTCCCTGTCTTTTCTTTTGTGTGAATTGTAGTCATTGGATGATTTGTCATCCATAGCTAACGTCTGGTATGCTTCATTCTTTTCACTCCTCCAAGCATTCTGCCCAATTGGTTTGACTGACATGCTTGTTTTCCTCACTGCTTCCAGCAGTAGAGAAAATTGATTAATGCCAATATTCTCCAACTAAACTCTGTACTCTGCCACAATGTTACTTATGCAGATCACTACAAGTGCTGTTAAAATGTAAACTGCCTAGCTAATTTCTGATTAGTTAGTAATCACTTAGTCAGTTTATATTTAGTCCTTTTAAGTCATCTGTTAGCTGAACACCTTGAGCTCATATGCTAAGTGTAAGGGTTGGGATAGTCTTTCTTATTTCAGCATGTCTAAAGCTTTGTAATGCCATGTGTCATATTCACATTGGCTTAAAACCTTCAATGGTTAGATTGTATTTGCTGATGTAAGAACACTTTTTTTGGGTGTGAATGAATATCCTCTGTTGCAACGGTTTTGCAGAGGTAGAGTTGTCATTATCATTTCTTTTCTTGCTGAAGCTCTCTCTAGCTCCCTTAACAATCCAAATCTCAACATGGTATCAACAGCGAAGGTTGGATCTGGATAGTGGGCGTTGAAGCTGTGTGGGCTGAGCTTGGAAATTCGACGAGAAATTTCCGACTCAGTTCATTGACTCTGCTCTCAGATGGCTGGGTCAGGTGGGAGTGATCTCAGAGCTCCAATATTCAACGGGGAAACTATGAGTTTTGGAAGATTCGAATGAGAACGATTTTCAAATTTCATGGAATCTGGGATTTAGTTGAAAAGGGGCTTCAAATTCTAAATTCAAAGGGGAAGAAAGTGGATGATGCAGGGTCATCGGATTTTGAGAAGGAAGCTCTATTAATGAAGGATGCTAAGGCACTTGGGATTATCCAAGGGGCTGTCTCAGAAGACATTTTCCCTAGGATTTCGAATGAAGAAACCTCAAAGGGTGCTTGGGATATTTTGCATCAGGAATTTCATGGTGATAAGCAGGTCAGATCCATCAAATTACAGGGTATGCGTCGTGATTTTGAGTACACAAGGATGAGGGATGATGAGACCTTGTCTGGGTACCTCACTCGCCTGCTTGAGCTTGTGAATCAGATGAAGGGATATGGGGAAGACCTATCCAAAGGAAGGTTAGTTCAAAAACTCCTTATAAGTCTGACTAAGGAATTTGATCATGTCTGTTATGTAATTGAACAAACCAAGGATATTGAAACGATTGAGGTGTAAGAGGTGATTGCTGCATTGAGGGGTTTTGCTCAACGTCTTGATAGACATGCTGAAAGCACCACTGAGAAAGCTTTCAGCAGCATGAGCATAAATCAAAAAGGATCTCAGCCAAATTCTGGTTTTGGTAATAATAAATCAAAGAAGAGCTGGAAATCGAAGGGTAAGAAATGGGATTCAAAACCTCAAAGTAATGTCAATCAAGGAGGAAAGCATGAACAAAGGGAAAAATCAAATCAAGCAAAAGGGAAATGCAAGCACTGTGATAAGCTCCATTATGGTGAATGCTAGTTTAAAGGAAAGCCAAAGTGCTATGGGTGCAATCGTTTTGGACATCTCATTAAAGACTGTGAATCAAATAAGACTAAGAGACTTGCAAACTTGGCCAGTAAGGTAACAGAACCTGCAACCATTTTTTATGCTTGTCATTCTGCCACTATTGGAAGAAATGTGAATGTTTAGTATGTAGATAGTGTGTGTAGTAACCATATGACTGCCCATGAGTCTTTGCTTATTGATATAGATAGAAAAGTGAACTGTAAAGTTAAGATGGGTACTGGTGATTTGGTACAATCAATAGTCAAAGGTACATTGGCTATAGATGTGCAAGGGGTTACTAGGTACATTAGAGAAGTTATGATTGTACCTGGTTTGGATGAGAATCTATTGAGTGTAGGACAGATGATAGAACATGGGCATTGGTTGGTGTTTGGTGATAATGAGGTTGACATTTATGAAGATAAGCAGTTAAAAGAGTTGATTGCAAGAGTCCAAATGAAAGGGAACAGATGTTTTCCCTTAGATCTCAAATATGTCAATCCTCCTATGGCAAATAGAGCAACATTTGGTGAATCAGCTTGGATGTGGCACAGAAGATTTGGGCATCTAAAATACATTAGTTTGAAGCTCTTACAAGAGAAAGACATGGTTCAGGATCTACCTAAGCTACAAGAATTGGAGAAGATTTGCTCGGGTTGTGCTATAGGCAAGAGTCACATGAGTTCTTTTGACAAGGAAAAGACTGGGAGAGCATCACAACCCTTAGAGCTGATACATTCTGACATCTGTGGACCAATGCAGACTATCACTCCTGCAGGCAACAGATTCTTTCTCACTTTTATAGATGATTACACTAGGATGTGTTGGGTTTTCTTTCTACAACATAAGTCACAGGTTCTGAATGTTTTCAAGAGGTTCAAGTCCATGGTTGAGCTTCAAAGTGGTTACAAAATCAAGAAGCTGAGAAGTGACCGAGGTGGTGAATACACATCACTAGAGCTTCTCAAGTTTTGTGATGATGTGGGGATGGAAAGGCAACTAACAGTAGCTTACTCTCCGCAACAAAATGGTGTTGCAGAGAGAAAGAACCGAACTATAGTTGAAATGGCTAGGACAATGATGGCTGAGAAGAGAATTCCTTTGAAATTTTGGGCAGAAGCTGTCAATACAGCTGTATACCTGCAAAATAGAAGTCCAACAAGTGCTCTGGATAATACAACTCCATTCGAGAAGTTCACTGGGAGAAAACCAGGTGTCAAACACTTGAGAATATTTGGTTCATTATGCTATATCCATATTCCTTCTCAGAAAAGGCACAAACTAGAGGAAACAAGTGAGAAGGGAGTATTTGTGGGATATGGAGTCTGTGAAAAAGGATATAGAGTACTCAACTTGAGAACTCAAAAGATTGAGCTGTCTAGGAGTGTTATTTTTGATGAAGAAGCAATGTGGAATTGGGAAACAAATGAGGCAGTGCAAATTCCTATGTCTTGGAGTGATGAAGCAAACTCTAATGTATCTGGTTCAGACTCAGAACCCAATCATCTACAACAACAGTTTATGCAATCTCCTTTGAGAACACAAACTGGTACTGATCTTCATGCTACTCAAGAATCAGTTTTGCTTAATTCTCCAGTTTCAAATCTTGAAACTTATGATAACACCCCAAAGAAATGGAAGAGTTTGAGTGAGGTCTATGCTCAATGTAAAATGAGCATTATTGAACCAGAAAGTTACAATGAAACAGCCAAAGATGAAGCTTGGAACAAGGCTATGACTGAAGAGATATCAATGATAGAGAAGAATTCCACTTGGGAATTGGTTGACAGACCAAGCAGCAAACCGATTGTGGGAGTGAAGTGGATATATAAAACAAAACTAAACCTCGATGGCTCCATTCAAAAACACAAGGCAAGACTTGTAGCCAAGGGTTACACACAAAAACCAGGGATTAATTTCAATGAAACCTTTGCTCCAGTGGCAAGGTTAGATACTATTAGAACTCTCATTGCACTTGCTGCACAAAAAGGCTGGAAATTGTGGCAACTGGATGTCAAATCAGCTTTCTTAAATGGTGTTCTTGAAGAGGAAGTCTATGTGGATCAACCTGAAGGCTTTGTGATTAAAGGAGCTGAGGATAAGGTGTATAGATTAAGAAAAGCTCTCTATGGATTAAAGCAGGCTCCAAGGGCCTGGTACAGTGAAATCGACAGTTACTTATATCAGTGTGGTTTTCACAGAAGTCTAAGTGAAGCAACTCTCTATGTGAGAACCAAGGAAGGTGTGGGAACATTAATTGTGTCAATCTATGTAGATGACATAGTGTATACTGGAAGTAGTGATGAAATGGTGAAAGAATTCAAGGCTGAGATGATGTGCAAGTATGAAATGTCTGACTTGGGTTTACTCCACCATTTTCTTGGTATGGGAGTAACACAAACTGAAGGGAGCATCTTCATCCATCAAAAGAAGTATGCTCTCACACTCTTGGATAAGTTTGGACTCAAAGACTGCAAATCAGTGAGCACTCCATTAGTTGCCACTGATAAATTGCAAAGAGAGGATGGAAGTGAAGCAGCGGATGAGAGTTTGTACAGAAAAATTGTAGGAAGCTTGCTATATCTAACAGCAACCAAACCAGATATCATGTTCTCAGCTAGTCTACTTGTAAGATTCATGCACAATCCTTATAAGATGCACTATGGGGCAGCCAAAAGAGTTCTAAGGTACATACAAGGCACAATTGATTATGGAATTGAGTATGTGACTGGAAAGTCTGCACTTTTAGTAGGATATTGTGATAGTGACTGGAGTGGATCTCAGGAAGATATGAAAAGCACTTCCGGATATGCATTTTCATTTGGAAGTGGTGCATTTTCGTGGGCATCAGTCAAACAACACAGTGTGGCTCTTTCAACAGCGGAAGCAGAGTATGTGAGTGCGGCAAAAGCTACATCACAAGCCATTTGGCTCAGGTTTGTTCTTGAAGATTTTGGGGAGGAACAGACTACTGCAACAACTGTGTTTTGTGACAACACTTCAGCCATAGCAATGGCTAAAAATCCTGTATTTCATCAAAGAAGCAAGCACATTAAAAGGAAGTTCCATTTTATTGGAGAGGCAATTCAAGAAGGAGTGATTGAACTGCTCTACTGCAAAGGAGATGAGCAAATTGCTGACATTTTCACCAAGGCACTTCCCAAAGACACGTTCAGCTATTTGAGGAGTATGCTTGGAGTGAAATCAGCTAGCACTTTAGAAGGGAGTGTTAAAATGTAAACTGCCTAGCTAATTTATGATTAGTTAGTAATCACTTAGTCAGTTTATATTTAGTCCTTTTAAGTCATCTGTTAGCTGAACACCTTGAGCTCATATGCCAAGTGTAAGGGTTAGGATAGTCTTTCTTATTTCGGCATGTCTAAAGCTTTGTAATGCCATGTGTCATATTCACATTGGCTTAAAACCTTCAACGGTTAGATTGTATTTACTGATGTAAGAACACTTTTTTTGGGTGTGAATGAATATCCTCTGCTGCAACGGTTTTGCAGAGGTAGAGTTGTCATTATCATTTCTTTTCTTGCTGAAGCTCTCTCTCTCAATTCTTGCTCTCTAGCTACCTTAACAATCCAAATCTCAACAAGTGCTTCCTTATCTTTCTCATCATAACAATCCAAAGCCAAGTCCCGGAATTGGGCCACGAAGTCCACAGGGTTCTCCCAATGCCTTTGGCGAGTGTTGTTGAGTTGAGTCGTAGCGACCGTTTCTTCATGCTAGAAGTACTTCTTACAGAACCTGCCTGCCAAGTCCTCCCAAGAGCGGACAGAGCCTAGTGCCAATGTTGTATACCACGTATATGCAAGTAAGCCTTTTTGAAAATTTCCGGAGACGGAGGTTATGATCACCGGCGTGTAGTCCCAAAACATCAATGAAGCAGCTGACATGCTCCTTTGGGCTTCCTTTCCTTCCGTCGAAAATGATAAATCTTGGTGTCATATAGCCTTCAGGGTACGGTTGCTGGAGTAGATTTAATGGATATGGTGGCTAAGGGACATATTTCCAATCTTTCTGGCTTCGGTTTAGTTCATTTTCCAGCATAGCAATGACATATTCCTGGGTGACGAAAGACGGCCTCTTTTGCTCAGAATTCTTTCCGGCAGTAGCGTTCTCTCTTGTTCTTTGCTTAGCTTCGCGACTGAACTTTTTAGTTCCTTGATTGTGTCCACAATCTCCTTCTGGGTTTGCCCCATAGCATAATTGGCTGCAATGAGATCTGTGAGGGTATAAGCTTCCTTGCTTGCAGGCTCCTCTTCTCTACGGGGAGGCTTTTTGCCTTGACTCTAATTCACAGTGGTCCGGCTCATCTTGGGAAGCCATGGTATTGCTTCTGGTCTTCTTCTTTAGGGCATTGGTGAAGATAAAAGCATAAGATTCTCAATTAATTAACCTAAAATTCTTGTGGTCGATCTTCAACATGCATATATTTTTTCTGGATGTGGTCCACTATTATTTATAATAATACTTGTAAGATTCTCAATTCACCTTCTCGAATTCTTTCCAAGGTTAAATTTGACATATAACTTGATACTTCTTGATATGGTCTAATTTGCCCATTCTTTTTCTTTTATTCTCGTTGTCTGCCTTGATTTGATCTGATATGTGTGATTTACTTTCCCTTTTCTTATGCCCTATATCAAATTTATCTAGGTTATAAGCTTTAGCTAATTTAATGTTGTGACTTTCTACTTTTAAGTTGAATTGTTTAAATCATGTTCCAAGTTCAATCCCCGTCTCTAACGGTTTCCTAGACCGAATAAGCTTTTCGGTACACTATATAAGGACATGGATATTTTACCTTATGAATCACACAAATCAAACCTAGCTAGTTTTTCTTTTTCTTGGGTTGGTGCGTGCACTTTCAGGGTTCGTAAAGCCAAGGTGACGATCAATCCAAAAGAAAAGAAAACGTGATGGCCAAGACAATCAACAGAGAAGAGCTGGGCAAGGTTGAGATTATATTAGACCGAGAATTAGAGAAAGCAAAAGGTGAGATCGGTGTTGGGGACGCTATTTACTTGGAGGAGCTGTTATCCGAAATCAGGGATAAGTGTGACCAGGGATTGCAGAACCTCAAAGCCAAACAGGACGAGTACAAATTATGGGTGGACATGTTGGAGCAGGAGTTTCAGCTGAAGTTGAAAAAGAAGAAAGAAAAGTTTGAGGAGAGGATGAAGAGAGAGAAGGAGAAACACAGAGAAGAGAAGGAAAAGTGGGAGGAAGAGAGAAGTTTATTGAACGCAAAGTATGAGGCGATGCGGTGGACTTAAGCTGGGTTTATTGTGGGTTATATGTTTTGATTATTTTGATTATGTATTATTCTTTTTCCTTATCGTTAATCGGAAGAGTTATCAATTAAGTTTTGGCCCAATTGTTCTTGTTCTTCTGAAAATTAGCACCATCAACATTTGTTTTTGCTATAGGAATAGGATGCTCTACTTGTGTTTTGATGCTTGTATAATGCATGTCCAAAACAATGTTCTTTTGAGTTCAAATGGTTTTTTGAGGCGATATTTTAAGGTGAAGGAGATTCAAACTTGAGTTCAACTGTATCAGAAACGGACCTAGAATTTTAAAATTGGGTTCTACGTACACGTATGCAACTGTTTCAGAGTTCATATAATAAATAAAACAAACAAACATTATTGTTCTTAATCTGAGATAATAAAGCAATCATTAATCAACAACCCACAAAATATAATAAATCACCAAGATTTTTACGCGGAAAAAAACAAAAAAAATTTCACTGTTAGGGTTAAAGATTTACTTGGTTAAATGACACAGAAGTGGGCTTGAAATAGAATAGGTTTTAATTGGTGTTGCAAAGTGGCTGTCTTTTAGGTTTTTGTTAGTTCAAGTGATTCGGCCAGGATTAGTATATATGTTATATATGTCTTATGTAGATGATGGTTACTATACAAGACTATTCTGGAATGGTAAAAGAGAATTCAAATTCTGTTCTTATTCTTTGCTGATTGATTGTTTTGGCTTATCTTTTTTCTGAGTAAGGAGTATTGGAAGATTCTATTAGCAAAATAAAAACTCACCTGGAATATAGTCTAGGTAAGTCCCTTCATAGGTCCGTCTCTGGGTGGAGGATGAATTCATCCTGGGGCTGGGCGTTGGGTTGGAGTTGTGAGGAGAATGGGTATAGAGGTTTTATTTTTATTTTAAAATTATTTTTATTTAATTTATATTTCGATTAGTTTTTTTAGAAGGAATGCATTTTTTTAGTAATTTGTGGACCGAATTGCCCCTCCACAACTAACAAAATTTTTTTTTTTTTTTTTTTTTTTTTTTTTATTTTATAATTGAAAGAAATTGTAATTGAATTGCTTCAGAAACCACAAGGGTAAAATTGATCAAATTGAAATAACATGGACCAAAGTGATAAAAGTGATAAAATACATAAACCAAAAATAAATTTTTGCCTTAAAAATTCCCAAAATTATATCATTCCACTTTTTACGAAAAAAAACGCTGCAAAAACAAAAAAAAATTAAACACACACACAAAGACAACATACACACACCCACACCCAAGGCATCGCCCATGATGCATTGCCTTCCCATATCGAGCTCCGAGAAATCAAATGGCCAAAACAAACCACCATAACCACTGCAAACCTCCACAAACTTCCACTAACCACTATTCATCCGAATCTACATCAACAACATAAAATCACCACGAAGCAACAACACTAAATCACGAAGCAAAAGCATTTCAAGAAACCTACCTAGCTTTGACAACAAAGGTATAACCTGAACACCCATATACTTTTTTTTTTCTTTCTTTCAAATATGTCTTAGATTCGAGTTACTAACATGCAATAACTGTTAAGCATACTAAAGGAACCGATGAATATGCAAAGAAAAATATTTAGGGGCATTTGGTATCCTATTTAAATAGGGAACTCAAAAACCTTGATTTTTCACAAAAACGAGTTCTTAAATCTATTTTTATGATTAAAAAACGTGTTTGGTATGCAACTTGAAAACTGTTTCAAATCTTAAAAATTTGAGAATTTTTGGGTTGTTAGAACAAAACTGAAAAAACTGATATTTTTTGTTCTTAATAAGTGGGGTGTTTTTTAGTTGTTCTTGAGTTTGAGTTTTTAAAAATAGGGTAGCAAATAGGTTTTCTTTGTTTTGGACTCAAATTCTATTTTTGAGTTTAAAAAGTTGGATTCAACTTAAAGACTCAACCACTTTTAAGATAAACCCACTTTTTACAGTTTTAAAATTGGCTCCAAGTAAAAGCGAAATAGTCAAGAGATATTTGATCTAGGGGGTTTTCCTCTATATCTTGTTGGATCTTTGGTGTTATTCGACTTTTGGTGGGTGTATGTCGGTCTACTTTTCTTTTGGCAGATCTATTGTCTCAAATCTGGGTAACTTTGGTTGTTCATCATCTTGCAAGAGTGCTCTTTGAGGTGTTGTAGCTTGGTCATGGTAGATCCACTGCTCATTAATGCATTGAGATCTTGGAGTAATTAGGTGGCACTCTCTATGTCATGTCTCAAAGGAAGATTAGCAGTCATTGGTTTTCCTTTTGTTGGCATTGTATTAGCCTTTTTATATTGGTTTAGTTTGTTAAATAAAGTCAAGAAACTTCATCAGTTTTTGTGTTTTTTCTCTCATGATTCCAGAAACTTGGTTGAGTTTGTTGTGTGTTCTTAGTCTCTTTAGGAGAGTCATGCTAGTTAGTTGCGAGTTTTTGTCATTGATGTTATTGGACTGTATTCGGGAAAATTATGGCTATTGAAAAGGGTTATAGAAAAGTGATTTTCAAGAGAGATTCTCTCTAGATCGTTTCAACTTTTCGGCTGACTTAGGATCTTTGACTTAGTTCCACTAGGGAAGTTTTAGTTCGCACTCATCCTTCTGGGGAAAATAAGGTGAAAAAGAAAAGATTTTATAATAGATTGGAGAGTCCAGATGATGCTTACATAGTTTCAAGATCTTTGACTCAGTTCCACTATTTGGTGTTTCAGTAATCTACCTTTTGTAAGGGGCTATTAGGGTTGCTTAATACGATTGAAGTCAAGTGAGGAAGAAAATATATGTATAATAATGATTACAAAGAACAGGTATTAAACCAACGAGAGTTAGTTCAGTTGGTAAGGTTTATGTACTGTGTGTAGCCCCATTAGTGTTTGAGTCCCGCTACCAACAGTCCTCGTTGGTGCACGATTTGTGATTTCCTACATAAATCCATATTGGTGGCAACTGGCAGTTGGGTGCCACGCATAAGGCCTTCCAGCTCAAGGTTGTAGATTTGATGAGAGTAGCCAATTTCCCCCTAAACTTTATTTCAAAAAACAAACAAACAAAAAAAAAAACAAGTATTAAGAGTTGTTCCAAAAACCAGGGTCGGTTTAAACCATTATGAGTAGTTTGTTTTGTTTGGGGTTTTATCCCCTCATTTCAACCACAATAAAAAAGCAGCGTTGGTCTAAATTACATATTTCTATCAACTAAGAATTGGTGTTTTGTTATTATTTATAATCAACTAATCATTAGATTTTTTTTAGAAAATATTTATCCAAGAATAGACTTTGACTAATACCTTCTTTCTTTTCTTTCTCTTTTTCGTTGTCTTTTCAGATTTTCAGAAAGTTGTTTTTTATAATAAATGCAAGCAACAACAATAAAAATCAACTAAAAATATGATCAATCAGCATGCAACGCAAGTATGAAAGATTGGAAAACCTACCTGCTCTCTCGCTGTGCTCTCTTGGCAATACCTTAATGGAGTGATTAAAATCAATACCAACAAGTGCAGAAAAGGTGAGGATGGATGCATTGCTGTTGGAGGTGTACTAAGAGATAGTTCTGGGTAGTGGATTAGAGGCTTTACTGTTAATCTTGGTGTAGGACAAGTCTTGGAAGCTGAGTTATGGGGCATCTATCTTGGACTGAAAATTGCTTGGGATATGAGTTGCAATGTAGTTGTGCTTGAGTCTGACTCAGCGATTGCGGTACACCTGCTTAATAAAGATGTGGAAGACTTTCATTCTCTTGCTACTATGTTGTGGGGATGCCAAGACTATATAGACAGAAATTGGGTATGTTCTATTCATCATGTATATCGTGAGTGCAATATGATGACAAATAGATTAGCTGAATTAGGTTCATATCTTGAGTTGGGTCTGTCAACCTTCCATGATCCTCCTGATAGTATTAGGTATTTTCTTAACGAAGATTTACTTGGAGTATGTAGGCCTCGAGCCATTGTTTAATTTCTCTGTTGGGTCTGGGCGTTAGCCCCATTCTTCACAAAAAAAAAAAAAAAAAAAAAAAAAAAAAAAGAAATTTAACAATAATTTAACTAATGAACTAATGACCAATAAAACCTAGGTTGTGAACTTTTTGTTCAAATAATTAAAACTTAAAAAACTTCGATTTTCCAATTGCAAATAACAAGAATTCCTGCCAAGTGACAATTAACTTGAGTCAATTAATTCTTTAAAGTCGTCAAGGGAGAGTTGACCAAAATAACCTCAATTCCAATCCTCTAAACATCCAAAGCCACATAAATATTAAATAATAAACAAAACTATCAAAGCAAATCGACAAAACTAAACTGAGCATACATTGTGACGTCCCTAAAACTTGTTAAAGATTGGCTCACCATTGATGTGGGGAAGTAAACAAGTAGAAGAAAACAACAAAAGGAGGTTGCTAGATCATCATGATGCAATTGCAGGGAGACCGGTCCGCAATTGCCAACTAACCGGTTGGTATTCTCGAGAGAGCGCCATTGCGCCATTGCCAGGCTACTGGTGTGCAATTTCCTGCCAACCGATCGCTTTTCGCTGATTTTGTTGACCTGTTGCGTTTTAAGCCTATTGCGTTCTAACAGAGAGAGGGAATTACTAAGGGTGAGAGTTTACAAAGGCATCAAAAGGTTTGAGGAAGGGTGTATCTTTCATGTTTATAAATGTCATTCAATTTCGAGGCATTAATTGTGTTTGGGCTTAATTTTGTTGAGGGCCAAAATGTGGCTATCATTGAATTTATTAAATAATAGATCTTATGAGACTTTGAGCTATTAAATAAGTGAAGCCCAATTTTTCCAGATTCTTTATATATATATATATATATATATATATATCCATATTTATTAGGTATTGGGCATAACAATCCCTACTAATTAGGATTTGAGACATAGAGTATTTCTGTTTGGATTTTAATACTTAGGAATCAAATTTGTTTTGGATTTGTCTAAAGAGAATGCCCAAATTCATTGGGCCTGTCTAAATTAGAAAGGTAAAATATAATTTTACTCTTTGTGTTTAAAAATCTGGCCAAAATCAAATCTCATCATTCCCCTCTCTCTCTCTTGACTGGAAAATAGGACAGCCACATTCCCAATTTCGCAGCGACTTTCCAACACCATAATGACCTTAAATGATATTGGGAAATGAGGGTTTTCTCACACATACATTCTGCAAATTAAGGTCATTTCCACTTGGCTAGACTCCATTGGTCCATAAGAGAAAGAAAAAAGTATCAAGTATTTTCAAGGCTATAGTCATGTCAATTTGGTTAGATTTGACAGATTCCCGTGAACTTCAAACATGAAATTAGTCGGACGTTTGGAAGATTTGTAAGTAATTCTAGTCGCCACGGGAAAGATTCTCCTATTTAAGTTAGGTATTATGACAACATATAAAGAAGACTGATAGTCGATGACAATCTCTCTCTCTCTCTCTCTCTCTCTCTCTCTCTCTCTCTCTCTCTCTCTCTCTCTCTCCATACAAATCATCTCAACAAATATCAAATTGATCACAATTAATCCCTAAAAATATTTCACACAAATTTCAACCCAGATTCTAGAGATTTCTAGAGGCCAATTCCGAGATATTTTAACACCAACAAGATTGCTCTTCCATATGCTAGTATGATTTCCAACTCAAGTACCATACAATTTGTGATTATGTTGATTCATGCTGAAACAGTTCAGTCCGAGTTTATGTTGTGAATTGTCTTACCATTTGGTATGTAGCGGAGCAACCAGTCGAAGTAGCTAACGAACCTCTCAAATAGTGTAGCAAAGTGAGTGACCGATCGGTCTAACCACCAGACTGGTCAGTCGTCTGGTTTCCTATTTTAAGTTGATCGGATTATATGTTTTACCTATTTCCTTAGGGTTTTATTTTCATACTTTGATTCTAACCACAAGAGATAAAAATGTGACTTTAGGAGAGTTGTGGAAACATAACGAGAGAGATCGATACAGAGAGGCACCAAAGGGTTTGAGAAATGATGAGAGAGAGATTAAGGCCTAGGGTTTAGAAATGGGCAAGGGGGTTCTTCTTGTAACCAAAGTTGTTCTTTTTGACCAGTGAGATTTCTTAAGGTGATCACCGAGAAGACGTCAATATAAACCGTCAAACCTTGTTAAATTGTTTTGTTCTTGTGGTTTGCTTTATTTTGCGTGTTGTGTTGAATTTTTGCCAGTTGGTTGCGTGCGCTCATCACAGTCCATTGGTAACAAGATCTCGGCGTGTTTTTACGCTAGTCATCGAAAGCTCCTATGGTAATAGAGTTTTTATATGCTTTCAGATATTTTAATTTGCTCATGTTATTTACCTAACCAATAGTAAGATTTGTCATTAAATTTTGATTCAGACTAGATTTATGCTCTATAACCAGTTCATCGTACTTCATTGTTTTCATTCTTTAATATAGTTTAGTTCATGTTTTTGTATTGCACTAGATATAAATTGTGAATCCATTTCGCCATTGAAGGCGTAGAAAAAGAACGAAATGAACAAATTCATTTCTCAAAGCACAGTGGCTTGGTTTGAAGTCAGGTTCCTGAACAAATTCATTTTGCAGTACTAATAGCCGCACGTTTGCATTTAAGACAGTTTTGGAGACTTTCCTTTGGCTAGACAGATTTGGAGTAACTGTTTTCTTTTTTTTTTTTAATAAGTAGGCAATGCTTCTGGTGGCAGGTAAGCAAGAGCAAGTTGATCCTGGCAGAATATAAATCCTAGCGTACTTGTTAAAAACACAACTTTACTTTTCAATTTGACATGTCGCAAGTAACTTGTAAAACTTTGCTGAGAACAGTTTGCTGCCTATCAAACAAACGGGTTCTCAAAATATATGCATGCCACTGCTAAGCTAAAATTATGCATTATCTAGAGACAAAGTTGAGTTCTGTCAAATATAGGCTTTCAAATTACACACACAACCACACAGTCCAGTACCTCATACAAACTCAAAAGCATACAAAAACAAATGGAGAAAATAAAGAGGAAAAAGTGGGGAAAAAAAGAGAGGTAACCTATGGATATGTCATTTATAGGCTTGTTGACCCACATCATAGGCCTATTAATTGATCTGCCCACCTCCCCCCGTGGTTATTGGTGGTCTAACAGCCCTTAAGCTTCCAGCAACTTCCTGTACATAAAAAGACACACACACATATATATACATGTGCATTAACTGAGAACATATATATAACGTATTTAATGTACACAGTATCAGCTGAAGTTTATTTTCTGGTATTTGTTTTCTTAATCCTGGAAGAGGTTTTAAGTACGAATCGCCTTTCGGTGCTCAATAATAAATAATAATAAAAAGAAATTGATGTCTGCAAAGAGAGAGAGAGAGAGAGAGAGAGAGACTAACAGAGGTTTGTGTAGTAGTTGAAGATGGAGCTGGATCTGCAGCATCATCTTGTAGCTCTACTTGGGAGGTTGAAGGAGCAATTTTGTTAGGGTTTGTTTCAGTGCCTTTTTGCCCATCATCTTTTTCCCCCCGTGCTCTAATCTCAATACCCAAACACTTGAAAAAGGCCCTAACTGCTTCTTCAAGGAAGTGGCATGGGTGTAAGTAGAAATTATAGGAAACACCTCTCTTCTCTTTCACCTCCGACTCCCCATCATCAGTTGATACTTGTGAGTACTCCATTTCAACAAAGTCCTCTTTTTCTTCTTCTTCTTCTTATTCTTTTTGTGTTTCAGACAGAGAGATTCACCTACTTCTTTAATACCCTCTTAAATGCTTCTGCTCTCCTTCAGTTATTGCTTTGAATACCTGTTTTCTTTTCAGTTTTCACAAATGTACAAAATTGCCCTTCTCTTTTCTCTTCTATTACATAACTTTGCATAAATCTTCAGAAATTAAAGTTGTGGGAAAAATAATTAATCCGTTATGTATGTGACTAAAAATCTACAACATGCCTTTTGGAACACATCGAATGAGGTATGATGAGCAACTAATTTTATGTGCCATGCAAATTTGTTGGATTGCTAATTCAACGAAACGAATCTTCTGGGTGACACACGTACGATATGTGACTGTACTTTATAATATCTTTGGTTTAAGTGATTAGTTGGCTGTGTGGCTTTTGTAATCGAGTTTTTTCCGTTTTTATCAACGATATTTCCATAGTTTGACAAAATAAAATACGAAGATATTATTACCAAGAGAAAAGCTACTAAATCAAATGGTAGTTGATAATATTGATGTCATTTTTAAAAGTGTTGTGTATTAGCTTTTAAAAGTAAAATTATATAGCTAATGAGACAATTAAGACGAAGTTATTCTAAGATTCATCATTCATGGTGACATAAATGAAATACATGTGTGTATTAGGTAATTAATTTTGATGGAGCCATCACCGCCATGCTACCAACTCTTGGAGCATGTATGCTGTCCAAGGAATGTGCCTCGTGTCTTTTGTCACCTAATCTCATGTTACGTTCCTCTCTTCGCTTACTACGTACTAAGATTTTCTTTCCCCCTTTATTTATATAATCACACTCCACTTTCTTGCTTATACTACTTATTTTCTTTGCAGGAGAAAAGCTTTCCTGGCACGGGGATGCCAGGTTACTTTTGCACCTCATTATCCCAAGCCAATTGCACAAATGTAGAGATTGGATGAGAGAGAAACTTTACTTTTTGGTTGATTTTTTTATTAAAATATGTTTTTAAAAGTTTTTAAAAAAGATTGGCAAGTGGCAGTATCCTATTAGCTTGGGATAATGACTTGATATCCCCGTGCCAAGGAAAGTTTTTCAGCTGGTTCAGGAGCGGCACCGAGCGCGACACAAATAGCATAGGCTATTTGCGCGACATTGCCAAATATCGTACGCATCAATGCTTCAGCTGAAGCTTGTACGAAATGGGCTTTTTGTTTGAAAGAAATTTATTGACTGAAACAACATTATTTCAGTCCTAGACAACTATTACAAAATCATGATATGCCCCTTTGAAACATGCCTGAAGCTATGTACTATGTGCTCCCTCCAAAGAAAATGAACCTTAACCCCCAAATTTGCTGTAAAATCGAAAGCAAATTCATCTAACCCCCATTATTTTTTACTATATTATTTCTATTCCCAAAAGGCTTACGTAGGCGTCAATGCTTACGCTACACTTTATAGGACATAAAATGCAACGTATTACATGAAAACGATTTAAAACATTGATATTAATTGAAAACAACAAATGATCCCAAAGACAGACAAGAAAAGTTGAATATGATTTAGACTTGATTTCGTGTTTCCCTAAAATCATAGAATGTTGTTTTAATTAGAATGAAATTTTACAGGTGGGTACGGTGGGGTCCAGTTTTGTTGACTACCAAAACCCAATGCTAGCCTTCGGGGTGGGTGAGAGGGGCCTTGGCCATGGGCCTCCAATTAAGGGGCCCCAAATTTTGTCCTAGACAGACAAGAAGGTTTTTTCGTTTCCCACACAGAAACAGAAACAACATGTGCTTGAGGAAGGTGATTCCTCTTCCCATAAGGCAATTCCTCTCCTAGGTTAGTTTCTCCATGGAACAACTCTATTTAATCCACCCATCTCTTAATAATCCACGCTACCATATTTTTCTCCGTTTTTCCCATCTCTCTTCAATCCATCCATTATATTCAATTTTTCTCATCCTTTTTTTATCATATCATATTGTAACCCTAATAATCAATCTCACACTAAAAAGCTCACAAATTGTCTTTGAAATTGATGGTGACCAAGAGAGGAGGAACATGAGAAATTGAAAAGATAATCAGATATATAATTATATATATATATATATATTTGTCCTTATCCATCAAACTATTTTTTCAATTTCCAGATTATACACAGACAATGACTCTGCTGTTATGAGACTTAAACTCTTTATAATAGACCAGGTGAGATTATGCTCTATAATTTTTTATCGTAAAATCATTATTCACGCGCTCTACGCGCTACATAAACTCATTTTAATTGTTGTTTTTTTCACAATTGTATACTAGGAGAAGGGGCCTCATTTAGTTTATTGCCTAGGGCCACCCTCTACTGTTATGAGACTTAAACTCTTTATAATAGACCAGGTGAGATTATGCTCTATAATTGTTTATCGTAAAATCATTATTCACGCGCTCTACGCGCTACATAAAATCATTTTAATTGTTGTTTTTTCACAATTGTATACTAGGAGAAGGGGCCTCATTTAGTTTATTGCCTAGGGCCACCCAAAAGTCAGGGCCGACCCTGCCGGAACCAACACCAAAACTTGGCACATCAATAGAGAGAGAGAGTGAGGGACCAACACTTCATGGATATTTATGAATTTTGAAACCGTATGCCCAAATTGGATCAGTCAGTTTGGTTCGATTTTCTACCTGCTTTTTGGAAAAACAAATAGAATATGCGATGTTGTTTTAGTTAGAATTAGGGTTATTCATTTCATTAGTCCCTGAATTTTGACCTAATTTGCATTTGAGTCCCTCAATTTTCAAAATTGTTCCCGTGGTCCTTCAACTTTAGTTTTGTTAGGACAAATGGTCATGCCGCCAATTTTGTTAACTTTTTCTGTTAAATGCAAGGGTAAAAATGGTATTGTAGTATTATTTTTAATTTTCAATTTCTGAATATTCCTTTCACCCAAAAAATAAAATTAGAAATTAAAAACTAAAAAGTAAAAAATCTTATTCCTATCCTCAGTCAAACTAAAAATTAAAAATTAGTTCTTATTCCTAAAAACTTGAATTTTTTTTTGTTTTTAATATTTTATTCATATTTTAATCAATTTAAAATTAAAAAAATACCATCTTACCCTTGCATTTAACAGAAAAGTTAACAAAATTGACGGCATGACCATTTATCCTAACGAAACTGAAGTTGAAGGACTATGGGAACGATTTTGGAAATTGAGAGACTCAAATGCAAATCGGGTCTAAGTTCATGGACTAATAAAAGGAATAACCCATAGAATTAACTAGAATTAGCTACATTGAGGTAGGTGATTCACGTTAGATAATTCAATTAGAATAAACTAAAGTAAGGTAACATTTTTTCTTGTTGATTTAATAAATTTCTATTGCTTTTTTATCAAAAGATTTGTAGTACACATAAATAACATTACTCTAAATCTGAAGCCTTATTCAATGTTGTCCTAGCTTATATGTGTTTTATTATAATTAATTATTATTATATATATATATATCACGTTACATATTTGACTAATTCACAAGTCATGTAAAACTATGTCCTCCCACACACGTTGGAGATCAGCACATAAAGCACAAATTAAAATACGAAAGTACATGCAAGCTGTTAGAAAATCTGAAGCTTAATTAGATGGACGTAGCAAACTTTTGTTTCACATGTATGATGTACATGCATATCCATTAGCTCAAGCCTGCATGTGGGTTTCATATATAGGATATAGAGACCATCAATTAGTCTGAGCACCACTCCCTGTGCTTATTTCTGGCCTTGCCGCACGAAGAGTAATTCTCTGTACATAACAACACAAATATACAGTTTAGAGAGAGAGAGAGAGAGAGAGAGAGAGAGAGAGAGAGAGAGAGAGAGATGAAGGGGGATTATATTCACCGGTCTTTTAGGGGCGTTAGAAGCAGCAGCAGGGTCAGCTTCCGGGGCTACTACTGCCGCTGGCGGTGGAACAACTTGCTCTGCTGCCGTAGCTGACGTGGCTGGTGTCCCTTCAACAGAAAAATCTATAAGCACTTGTTGTGTGGTTGAAGTTGAAGAATCCCCAACACCCAAACACTTGAAAAGAGCCCTAACTGCTGCTCCGAGGAATTGGTAACGATCATAAGAAACAGCAACCATCTTCTCAGTAGTGATGATGACCTCCTTTCCTGATGATGCCTTCTCCATTTTAATGATCCTTTAATTTTTCTTGTTTCCCTTCTTCTTCCACCCCTCTCATTAAATAATTACTTGGCGTGTGGTATTTTTACAATTAAATAATGAAACTCGTGGTTCTTTCACTTGTAAAAAAATGTACAACATTATAATCTGCCTCTTTTTTTCTTCTATTTTACACCACAATCATAGGCGCTCAGGTTCACCGAATTGACCTTGCAGTTTTGTACTTACTATAACTACTATATAATGACCAAAATGTTCCTCAGTACGTAACATATATATCTAGAAGGTCAGTATGTATGTGCGTGCATGGAATTCATGTATGTATAGAAATTGCTGCTTGCATGTATAGCATGCATTTGTTGACTACCAGTACTAAGCTTTCTCATGCATGGGTCCTCGATCCATGAATCAACAATGGTAGCTTCACTAAATTTATTCACCAAAACTAATTACTGAACGGTGTGTTTGTATATACCCGACTCGAAAAATTTGTGATTGGACCCCTTTTGTAAACACTCATAGTTTTTCCTTATTAAAAAAAAAAAAAAAAAAAAAAAAAAAAATTCAATTCAAACAAAAAAAAGAGAAAATAAAACTACTTAACTTTTTTATAAAAAGAAATACCACTAAATCAAGAGCCAGTTAATCACGCTTGTAGCTTCCTTCCACGTGATCATATGTACAATTTTATTTGCATATATGCTATTTGGCTCAAAGATTTGTTTAGAAATGAAAGGGACATAACTGCCTCATGTCCCTATTTCTCTCATTCAACATTTGCAACTTTTAGAATTATTGTGAAATCCAACAACGACAAAAAAAACTAGCAAATTGTGTACAGCTCTATCATGCGCTCTGCCTATTCTGTCATCATCTAAAATACACAGAAATGAAACTTTTGTGCAACTTTAAAATACGAACACCCCAAAGAAAATAGAAGCCAACGAAAGCAACGTGGTAAACGTCACAATTAATTTCTCTTTAGACATGATAAATATTAATATTGCAGCTCGAATATTTTGCAGAAGTAGTCCTCAAGAAAGTTAAGGACGATTAGCAGTAAATTTTAGAATTTTGATTAAATACCACATAGGTAAAATATTTTTTTTAAGTACAAACAATAGTCTAACTAGAGGGAAGGGGAGTTTCTCACACACACACAACTAAAATACCATGGGGGTTCAAACTTGACACCTCAGGTCTGCAAGTCAAGGCCATTTTGCACACAGCTAGACTCCATTAGTTAGGTAAGCAATTTTTTAAGCACCAAATGCCATTGAAATTGCTCAATCCATTATTTATTTTCGAATTATTTACACTAACACCCCTAAATGTTTGGCCTTTTTACAAAACTCCTTTGAGGTTTCACAAATTACACAAACACCCTATGAGATATCAAATTATTTTCATAAAACCCCTTTAGTTAATTTTCGACCTCAAAATTGCGAATGTCATTAAAAAAAAAAATTACCCCAAATGGTAAAGTTAAAATATGAGATTCCATAGACCTCATCAAATTAAAGTCCTTTGTGTCATAAAAAAACCCTAGCCCCCTCCTTAGAAAAAAGCCTCCCTAGCCGCACAGACCTTGAGGTGGGAGGAGGTCAATGCTCCTCCTCCTCCCCTCTCCTCTCTTCCTCCCCTACTCTCTGCTTTGACGTAGAAATACCCCTCCCATCCCCTACTCCTCTCCCCCCCCACCCCCCCCTCCTCCCCCCCCCCCCCCCCCCCCCTCCCCTCTTTTGTCCTCTAATCCTCTTCCTACCCTTTTCATTCGTTTCTGACCCGCCTATCCCTTTACCTTCCTTCTCCTTTCAGGGTTTGTTTGTTTTGTTTTGTTTTGTATTGTTGTTGTTTTTTTTTACAGATATAGGGTTCCGGCTTTTGATTCGCTTAGGGATGACGTGGCTGCCTTTGTTGATTTTGTTGGTTTTGTTTGATTTGCATGGTTCCAGCTCTTGATTTGCTTCGTGTGTTTTAGTTTTTGTAATTAATAAGTTCATCAACTCTTAAAGATTGTACTTCGCAGTTGTAGTTCTTTACGTTGAGGTGTGTTATGGTCTATGTCTGACTTTTGCAAGTTTGTGTTTTTTATGTTGGAATTTATTTGGCCCTTTATGACTATGTGTGGAGGTGCACTTGTGCACCTGATGTTGCCAGTGGAGTCCTTTGTATTTGGATTAACCTTTTATGGTTATTGCGCTTCAGTATTTGTAATAACTTTGTGTGGTTATCTGTATTCGTACTAGCTCTTGTGGTTGATAGCCTTTGTGTCTAAATTATAAATACAATCTATCGTCTTTATCTCAACCAAAAAAAAAACTGAGATTTCATTGTACAAACACCCAGATAAAATCATCAATTTTTTCGATGGAAAAATTAAAGTAAGGGGTTTAGTGAAAATAAAAATTAAAAACTTGAGGGGAACCAAGGGGGTGTATCCCAACAACAAATTCCATAAAATCTCTAATTAAAATAATCGAGAAATAAATGTATGGTACTAGAATACGGTGACGTGGTATAACTTGTTCATGTGTTATAATAGTACTGGGTGACAGGGTTGATGTTTCCAACTTTTTGGGTATATGATATAAATAAATGCTCACTTATATTATAACACGTAGATAAGTTATGTCACGTGACCGTACTCCAGTACCACACTAATTACTTGAAAAATCACTACAAACAATTTAACTTCCCTAAAATCAAACTAGGAAATTATTTTCTTTTTTCTTTTGCACCTTAAAAGAGTACAAAAGATAACAAGGACACCATCTGAAATAGTGTAATCTTAAAAAAGATTTGTTGCCTGAACCAAAACTGCTCACAAGAAATATCAACAATCACTCTACCCAAAACAAAACCAGGAAAATTAGAATAATAAAGACATATAAATTGAAACATTAAGGCATGTTTACTTACGAGGGATAAAGAAAGTAAGGAATTGGGGAAGTAATGAATCGGTATAGGAAGAATCATTCCCATTAAGCTGTTTACTAACCATATGGAATCAGCACATGAATGAGGTTGATTCTTACTATTATTATTTACTAATTCTCATGAATCAGAATTGAAATTAATTTGATTACTAAAATGCCTTGCACATATAAATATATATTTTTCACCTACGTAACTAGTAAAAAATCAAATAATAATAACATACATAATCGTCAAATGATTAAATACATAATCTCCATAGTACCCAAAAAAAAGATATATAATCTCTACAAAAGTCATTCACCCATTACTCATCAATCACAATCAATGTAAGCCATGCTTCATACAATTAAATACATAATCTTTTTTTTTCATCAGTCATAGTAAAGAAGACCCTCAGCAAATCATGCTCTTCGGCTAAAATGTTTCATTATAATAACGAGCTCATGCATATATAATAACAAGCATATTTATCGATCCATGTGTGCTACTTTAACAGGAATATGGGGTTTAGAGGGCTCACCCAAGGGCGAATGCACAGAGGATAAATGGGGTCAGACGAGCGCATGACAATCGGTAAATCAACTGTGGAGGTCTCAAGCGACCCCGGTCCTTGCTAGTGTGCTACCCCAAGGCGCACAATAGTTGTTTGATGAAATGCACAAGAGAACCTCGCTCTATTGCTACCTTGCGCAGCACGAGTGAGGCTCTATTATTTATTTATTTTTTTAAAGCACCTGGCCAAAACGATGTCATTTTGGTCCAGGCGCACTCAATGTTTTTTAAATGACCTCGCTTAAAAAACGGCATCGTTTTGACCTAGGTTTAAAAAAATAAAAAAGAACCCCCCCAGCTGTTACCCGACCCCAGCAGCCTCCAAAATGCCAAAATCCAATTTACTTTCACATTTTCTTCCTAGCAGATTTGATGTTGCTTTTGCTAACCATGAATCCAAATTCATTAATAACATGGAAAAGGTGCTCAGGTGGAGGACGGATCTTACAAAAATAGCTAATTTGTCTGGATTTCTTCGACAGGTACGTAGATTTCTGAACTTTGTAAACTTGTACTGTCATGCTAGCCTTTTTTGGTATTTCTTATTTATTAGATTTTTTTAAAATTATTTTCCATGAAATGGATACAAAACAATATACTAATATCTCAAAAGGATGTAGTGATTAATATGAGTTAATTTACACACATATACAATAAGATGCAGTGTTATAGGTTGGGATGGTTCTAGGCGACGGCTATAGACACACCACCAACTAAATCTTATGTTACGACATGTTTTTTGTTTATTAATACGTATTCTAAAACATAACTTAGTTTTTACCTATGTTATAACATGTGAATTAGTAACATTAGTTTTTGATGGGATGGTAAACCAAAGAGTTTCTTAGGCCACGACATACTTAAATGTGATTCTATTTCCCTATATAAAATGTTTGGCGTCAAGAGCACAATGATTTTCCACTTAAATGTGATTCTATTTCATTCTACACTTCCGTTGACATGAAGTATGTATGTATTGAGAAATATTTCTTCAGATATTCTTTATATGTGTTTATGTTACCTTGTTTTTTTTTTTTTTTTTTTTTTTTTTTTTTTTTTTTTTTTTTTGGGGTGGATGTAGCAGCAAGTTCTCTTCTTCCACTTGTATGTGTTTTTGCTTTTAGTCCTTTTTTCATAGATATATATAATATTCTATTTTATAAACATATAGTTTGTATTGTTAGTTTTATTATAAATTATTAGTGGAAGTATTATCTTTCTGTTTCTTAACATTATTTTCTTCTTAAAAAAAATTTCAAGACTTTTACACTATGACCTTATGAGGTCACAATCATGTGTCTGCCATTAGGTTAGCCTACTTTAGAATTCAAAAGTTATTGAAAAGACTGTTAGAGATGCTCATTATCATCGTTGTCCTTACGGAGCTTTCTTGGGTTATTTCAACGGCAGGAGCATCAGCTTCTGGGATTGGTTCTGTTGTGGCTGCAGGTTAACTCTCACCACCAAAACAATTAAAAAGAGCTCTTATTGCGGCTTCAAAGTTGCTCACTTTA